ATGTTTTATTAAACTCTGTTTCCTTATGTGGTCTTACCATGAGCTGTTCTTTCCAAATGCCTGAAATTATTACTGTATCTTTGTATCAAGCCTTCAGATGAAGAAGCGTCATCCTTCAATGTGCTGAATTTCAAAAATTTGCCAATAAAGGTGGTTAGTTTTGTGTGTTTTGCTTTTATGCATCCAGAATGTTGCTAAATCTTACATTTTGCAAAATGTATTCATTTCCCTTTTTAAAATGTTTGCATTTTATTTTTATTTCAGAATTAAAGATCTGATAAAGTACACCTTGCAATATCTGATATTTTTTTTATTCTCCTGGAAACAGAGTTCTGGGTTGTCGTGTTGTTGTTGTTATTGACATTTTGATGGTGCTTTTGAGCATGCTGTATTGTTGGATGTATTGTGGGTAGATTTGCCCACCATCTCTGTAAGAGTATATGGCACGGGTTGGCAACCCGCAGCTCTGGAGCCACATGTGGCTCTTTAAGCCTTCTCCTGCAGCTCTCAGCCTCCTCTGCCATTTGCAGAGAGAGAGAGAGAGAGAGACAGAGACAGAGACAGAGACAGAGAGAGGCACTTGTGCTTCCATTCTCTCTCTCTCTCTCTCTCTCTCTCTCTCTCTCTCTCTCTGTGTAAAAAAGAGAGTGGCCTCATGCTGTTCTCTGACAAGCTGACAAGCTTATTGGGCAGGGCTCCTCCCTTTGCTGCATCTCTGCAGGAAGCAGGAAGGGCAGGAGAGAGCCAGCCCAATAAGAATGTGTATCAACTTGTTGGAGAACAGTCTGAAGCCAGCTTGTCAGGTGAGCAGAAGATCGGAGAGAGGGAGAGAGAGAGAGGGAGAGGAAAGAGAGAGAGAGAGAGAGAACTCATGCACAGCAGCCTCTATTTGTTTTTAATTAAACTCTTCAATCAAGCACGCGTGCATGCGGATGCATGTTTTGCAGCTCCCAGTGTTTTCTTTTTTCTGGGAAATGGGTCCAAGTGGCTCTTTGAGTGTTTAAGGTTGCAGAGCCCTGGTATATGGGAATGACTGAGGGGGACAAGGCAAAGGGGATGGTCAGATAGCCCATAGCTGCAGAGTGGCAAAGAAAAAAGCTCGGAAGGGAACTCTCATTAAGTTCTCAGACTGTAAAGGTGACAGCAGGAGAGCTGCACTTTCAGACTTCCAAGATTTTGTTAATGAGTTTTACAATAAAATAGAATTAGCTCATCAGCCCGTGTTTCCTGTCCAGTCCATCTGGTAAGGCTAAAGTCTCATCCCAAGTCTCCTTGACATATCTAGAAAAATCTAATATGTTCTCTTGGGGTTTATTTGAAATGGGGGAAGCAGATTGATCCAGGTTACCGGAGAGAAAAACAAACAAATACTTGGGAGACTTGTAGTAAACTAAGGGCATGAATATAATATTCCAGCTATCAGAATTTTGTTTAAATTACTTCCTGCTCCTGCTTCAGAAACAAATGGTTTTCATCATTTTGAATCGAATTTGTTAGGAAAAAAAACAATTATGATACTACATAGCATTATTAACAAGCATAAATATTTTAAATGAGAATTCCCTTACTGTGTCCTGTACAAGACTTATAATCAGTCTAGGAGAGCAGCAGAAAGTTTTGGGAAGAAAAAGTTCAATAACCCTACAAGTAGAGAAGGGCAGGACATTGAAGAGAACAATATGGATAGAGTGATATGTTTCAGAATTGCAACACAAAAGTCTAACTGTGTCTAATCCCCCAGCTCACAACTGTAAGGGAGTCTTTTAAAGGGCACTTAGTTTGCAAACTTCACGTTCTAATCACTTTTGGAAATTGCCCACTGTAAAGACCATCTTAAAGCTCTTGAAACGACCTTCAGAATAAGTTTGAAATATCACGAGGCGAGTTTTTCTTCCCCTCTGAACAAAAGAAAAATTGTAAGATTGGGAATGTAAAGAATTTGAAATAAACAGTAAAAAGCTAAGATTCTGAACAAAAAAAAGTTATATTGAGGGTTGAGGGTCCAGATAAATTTGGGATATTGAGTTTTACTGTAAGATTTTGAAATTGAAATAAATAGCTTTGCATGGGAAGCAGACTTATTTTGGCTATCCTGGTTATTGTAAGTCAAAACAAAACAAAGATAAGTAATAATTTTAGAAATTAGACACTAGAAAGAACAAAAAATTATTTTAAAAAATTAGAAACCTGATCTTAATGTCAGATAATATTGATACTTACAAAAATGACACAAAACATAACATCAGAAATATTAAAGGAGCTTTTTGAAGAATGGTGGCAGAAATTAGTAACTACAGTATCAACACTGTCAATTATGATATCTGCTTCAATGGGTAGACTATGTCTAAAAGAAGTTAATGAAAGAATGACAGATGTAGAACAAATTTTATCTAATAAAATAGAAAAAAATATTGGAAGTGGAACTACAAGTGACATGTCAAGGGAATGATTTGGGAAAGGACACTTTACTGGATATAAAAAAAGAAAATAGATCAAAGTTTTAAAAATTAAAAGAGAAGTGCAAATGATAAACTAAGTCAATGACCTGGAAAATGTTTTCTTATTGGATCTACAAAAGAGGCTTGTTAAAGTCTTGAAGAAATCTGTGCAATAAGATTAGATTTCTGTTCAATTTTTCTGTATTCCATGTCAATATCTGACTGTGTTAAAAATTAAAACTGCTAGAAATAAAAGTAAGGAATATAAAGTTGATTTATTTTATCAAGGCTAAAATAAGACATTTCTTTTTGCAATGTTCTGGAAACTCTTTATTGGACTTTTTGCTGACACCAGGATGGAAAACTTGATGTTTATGGATTTACTTATAGACAAGGGATGAGATATAAGATGAAGAAATATTTGTAACCTTATATGGGTTACTAAATTTGTTTGTACCTGATGTGATAAAAGCTGGAAGACATTTCTTTTTATATTTCTTTTTTTTATTGTATTCCTTTCTCTTTTTTTCTGCACATTTTTGTTTCCCATTCTGTTCTCTTTCTATAAGTTTAGTTTGCATTAGATTTCACTATTGTAATTAAAATTCTTAATAAAAATTGGAAGGAGACAGAGGAAGAGGAGAACGTCTGTCTGCACACACTTGATTCATTTCAGCAGTAAACTCAGTTTGAATAACTGTGACAGGATATTATCAAAAACACCTGAAATAGAAACAGGTCCAAACAGCTGTTAACCATGATGATCCTGAATATTTTTAGAAGTGCAATAGAAAATCCCTTGCAATCACAATATTATTTCCATTAACAATTGGGTTATATAGCCTTTTTATCTGCTGTATTTACTTCAATGAATATTTAAAGATGACAATACATTAGAAGTATTCTATCACAACCTGGTGGTTAATTAATGAAGTGCAACAGAAACCTTTACCTTCAGAATTGGACAAAGAAGCTGTATGGACTCCCCCCCCCCCCAACTTAATAAAAAGTTGTTTGAAGTCCACTTGGTATACATAGTTTCCCCAGACAAATGACTTTGCATTTTAGATATCATGGACACAAACACAACTCCAAAAAAAAAAAAAAAACAAGAAGAAGAACAAAATAGTAATAAAAAGAACAGCATTAAGACGGGAAGGACAAAGAAGGAGATGAATAAATGGGAGTAAGAAGTAACTGGACAGCAAAAGTGTTAGAAAAGAGAGAGAATATTTCTGGTTATGCAGTGCAAAAAGAATATAATTACCTGGCAGGAATTTCTTGCAAGCAATAGGCAACGATCTAATCTTCCAGTTAATTTTAAAAATATTCTCAGGACTGCCATTATTTACAACTACACGGGTGTTTTTCAAAGTTGGTAAATATAATCTACTGTGGACTGCAATATCCTGGCTGGAGAATTCTAGGAATTCAAGTTCACTGGTCTTAAAGTCACCAAGATTGAAAAAACACTAATCTATACCATGCATATTCTCAACAGCCTTTTTTTCTTATCATCACTGCAAGATGACACCCACTCTCAAGTAATCTTTAACCAGCCTATGGAGGTGGTCATGTACATCCATCTGCCCCTCTTTAAAGCAGCTGTAGTTTTCCTCTGAGTTATGCAACTGTCCTCCACGGTTCCTTTGATCCAGAGAAAAGTTGCATTTATTTTAAGGAGTTGCCAGCAGGTGCTGTTCAAATCTCCCTGTTTCTGTGGATAGAAAGCAAAGTTTCCCCTGAAAATGTGAAGTTTCAAATAGCCTTATAATTTCCTGGCTCACCCCTTTGCCATTACTCCATTGTGCAAATTGCATACTTTTTGTTGCCTGTTCCTCTGAAACCTTCATTTAGAACAGGGCTCTTCAAACTTGGCCCTTTTATGACTTGTGGACTTCAACTCCCAGAATTCCTCAGCCCAGCATGCCTAGCTGAGGACTTCTGGGAGTTGAAGTCTACAAGTCATAAAAGGGCCAAGTTTGAAGACCCCTGATTTAGAAGCTTTCTTACAGCTAGTCCTTGACTTACAACCAAAATAGAGCCTGCCCATCATGGCCATAAGTCATGACACTTGTAAAGCAGGTTGCCCATGTGACTAATACAATTTTATGACTTTTTTTGCAATGGTCATTAACTGACTGCCATGTGAATCAATGGTTCACTATTGACTGGTTTGATTCTTGATTAAAACATTGTAAAATGTGGTTATGTGATTGTGGAATGCTGCAAATGGCCATAAATATAAGCTGATTATCAAGTACAAATATAGTCACATGACCATGGGGAAGGGTAGCAATCGGAACTTCTGAAGCAGGTTATAGGTAGGATACTTAATGATTGATGATTGATAATCATTTAAAAACATAAACATGAATTTTATATATTTATAATGTATTGTATAAATATATTATATTTATACAATATAATGTATATTATAATGTTTAGCCTTTTTCATTGCCTGAAGTTTTTAATCATAATTTTACTTTCTTTTTATAAAAATATCCTATGCATTATTTTTATTTTAAATTAGGAACGGTTCAAAAATATAATATCTGAAACTGTTTTCCATATAAAATTTAATGCAAAGTGCAGGCTTTCCAAAGGAATAATAAACTATAAAGAATAAAATAGAGCATCTTGTAAATAAAACTTCTATTCAAGCCATAGAAACAAGAGTACAAAACAGAACTTCTGTATTAACATGTCTAAAAAACAGTAGCTGAATAAAATTTATCCAGCTTTCAGCATTGGTAACTTTAGATTTGTTGGTGATTCAGATGAATTTCTGTACATACAGTGACATCTTGAGGCCAAGTTTAGATGTGCAATTCAAAAACTTTTACTAGAACGTTGTGCTTTGGCAAAAACACTTCCAAGTTGCTGCTGAAAAAAGGATATCATATTTTCAGTAGCTGAGCTTAACTCAAAGACATTTTATCTTTTTAAGGTCCTTTACCCAATTTCTGTGACCAGGTTTATGCTAACTCAGACCATCAACTTTATTTTAAATCTCTCTTGTTTTTTGAACATTTGTCCAAGCTGTCTCAATTCATTATTACCCAGTAAACCTGCAAAACTGAAATCTATTCATTTCATTTTAGTATGCGATGACTCCAGTGAACATTCTACATTCTTTTTCCATATTTAAACTGGAATCACTTTGTGATTGTTAGAGCCAATGGGGCAAACCTAATTAGACCTATGTATCATTAGCATGTAATCTCTATGGATTTCGACCAAAGATGAAGGGTTTTAGTCCCCATTCCAAGACATTTATAAATAACTCTCATGCAATGTCAGAAATTCGTTTTAACATCCAAATCATTTTAGAGGTATGGGCCTAATATGAAAAAATATACTACGGCAAATGCAGAGAAGGTCAAATATGTCAAGATGGTGACTATAAGTTCATACTTGAAGCCTCATCCCTTTTTTTTTTACTTTCTCCGGACATTCAGAATCAATTGTGCTTTCTTTTTGGATACCAACTTGAATTTTTTTCACAGACAAATATGTATCTAAACATGTGCATGAACAACTTTCTTTCCTCTTACAAACAATAGCAACAAGAAACAGTAGAACAGTTGACTTCTTTTGGAGCTATGGAAGAGATCTCTCTCTCTCTCTCTCTCTCTTCGCGGGTATTTGTATGTAGGTCTTCCAATTTTACGCGGGAGAAAACCCGAACAACCAAAGACCTACATATATATATATATATATATATATATATATATATATATATATATATATATAAAGAATCCTGTACTTCTAAAAATATTAAAAGTACAGATTATACCCAGTGATTAAAAATGGCAAATCTCCCATACAAACACACATACAAAATTCACAGTCGTCTTCTATCTATCCAATAGTTCCTCATTCTTCAATATTATTCCTTGGAGGAAAATAATCCTTTGAGTTTTACAAGACGTAAAGGAATGCCCATTTCTAATATTCTGGTTTCAATTTTCTTTTGCAGGAAGATTCCCTGCAGCACGTGGAGAGGATTGATTCAAGGTCTAAGCCATGTCACTTAAAACCAGATTTGTAGGTCCATTAAAAGAACTCTCTGCTTCCCTAGATGTATCCTGGCCTTTGAAATCATCGCACATTTCAGCATCATCTCCATTTTCTTGACTCATAAGATGGAAATCAGATTCCAAAGAGTTATTCTCTTCTTCCTTCTTGGCTTCCTTCTGGATGTTAGTGATTTGTTCATGGCATTGGGTATTTTGTAGCTGTCCATTCTGGGCAGGATACAGGCTTGCAATAGTATCATATAGAAACTGATAATCTTCCTAAATGAAATTTAAAAACAGAAAGTTAGCATATATGCAAACCCATCAGGTATTCTTTTCTTTCCCCAAGCAGTAGTTTCACTTAATGATACGATAATGCTCTAAAAAAATGAGAGAAAGAGACAATGTGCTGCCTAGACTTAATTAGTTAATATATTTCAGTGTTCATAAATTTCTGCTATTCTCACACTTGGTTTTCATGGATACAGGAAGCCTTTACAATGGATTCTTAAATAAGAGATATAGATTACCATTGGCAAGATTTCCTAAATTATAGTTCGTCGCTTGTCCATCACTTACTATCTGTCAATATCCAGCTCAAGAATCTAAATAAAACTCCATGTTCATTCTGTTTCCGAAAATATTACTGTTTAGTGAATATTCTGCATGGTAATGTCAAAGCAAAACTAACTCTGAGGTTCCCAGACACCTGTTCATAGAATTAAACAATGATTTCTTCAGCCAAACCCCCAACATCTCACGTAGTCCAACAATTTCATTTTGTTATGGAAACCGTCTGCTTCCTCTCCACATCTGCTGTGGTGTCCTTGGAAAGGTTTCCGGCTCTCATGGTCTTCAGCGGAATTGTAGAGGTTTTGCTTCTCCATCTAGCCCATTCTAAAGCAATACCCCCCCTTACTCTAAGCTGCCAAAGTTTCGTTCTTGACACTATCCTTGCCTGCTATAGCACAGAGATATAGCAGAGGGTCCCACAACAGGGACAGGAAGTGTCTCCTCCCTTAAATATACACAGAATAGAAGCCAAATTTATCCAGTAGTAGTTACTTCTTTGATTCAACTAAGTATGTGTTTCCTACTTTACTACTAGCAAAAAATGTTCAACATTGAAGTATTGAATGACCGTCCAAAATAAATCAAAAGGCAATTATAGTCAATAAAGCAATTGTTGTTTGGACTCTGAACAATTGCTTACTGAATGATAATGACAATGGAAGAGATAGACTTTGGAAAATAAAATAAAATAAAATAACTACTAATATAATTTACTTACAAAGGAGGAGACCATTTCTGGTCTGGCTCTACGAAGAGCTTTCACAACTTGGAAAACATCTATTACACCTTCAGTCTCAGCACATTCCAAGAGATTTAGCAAAGCACAAAATACTCCCGTTTGCTTAGAACCATCGCTATAAATATATATATATTGTATGAAATAAAAATATATATTAGTTAACAGTGGTAATGAAATGGAAAGACTAACAAAGCTCAACATTGTACAACATATGTTCAGCTCCCATAGGAGAAATGAGAAAGAACTGCTAAATCTTAAATTAAGAGGAGGGCTCACTGGAAATTCTTAAAATATAGGTGAAAAAACAAACAACTTACTTTGATATTAAAACAAATGTTACTACCATTCTTGAAATAAGTGAAGAAACAGTCAAATGAATTAACAGTTCAAAGAATAACAAAAAAGGGAGAGAGGATTAAGTACAATAATCCATGGTTCTTAAATTTGGCCAGTCTTAGAAGTAGATGGAAGAGTTCAGTACTGCACTCTTGAATAATTGCAGAAGCCTTAACTTTTGATTTAGGGCTCTGTGCAAAATATAGATTACTGACTTTATTTTATTTTATTCCATTATTGATATGCTCTCCATCTTGCTTGTTGGCTTACTGGTTACATATGTGTGCAGTTGAACATAGTAGGTTTGTGCTTCCCTGATTCATTCCAGTTTTCTGAGCCCTGTCCAAATTTCTAATTATTAATCATTGTGTAAAGACAGCTCCATTTTTTTCTGTAGTAGTACCAACCTTTTGCTGAGTTGTCTTTGTGACACAAGTGCTGTAGGCTTTCTGTAAGAGCCTCCACTGCACAGAATTACAGATGTTTCACAGATTCAGGTAAAACAACTTTGAATTCAAACAGAATGAATACTTATTCCAGAATTTGGTCCTGGCTAACATAGCTACCATGATCAAGAGTGCTATGAGGGGAAAATAGACTCTAGAGCAGGGGTAGGCAACCTTGGCTCTTTTATGACTCGTGGACTTCAACTCCCAGAATTCCTGAGCCAGCATGGCTCAGCATGGAAACCTTTCCATTTCTCCTCAGCATGGCTGGCTCAGGAATTCTGGGAGTTGAAGTCCACGAGTCATAAAAGAGCCAAGGTTGCCTACCCCTGCTCTAGACTAAAGCAGTCCAGAAATCTTCCTTTGGGTAGGATCCAGAAAAAGGATATAAAATGGATACTTTAACTGTTTTTAGTTCTGCTGTATACCACCCAGAGTCTCTTGTTTGTTAGATGTGTGGCTACATAAATTAGTTTAATTAAGCAATAAATAATGTTGCTTTTTTTGAACAAATAATTTATATAATAGCACGAAAGGTTTGTTATCATTCCCGTCTATGATTCAATGTGGTGTGGATTCCCAGGAAAGGAGGGGCTGCTTTTCTGAGGGCAAAAAGGCAGTGGATCTTGGAAACAATGGTTTGCAGGAAGATTTTCCCAGAGTATATCTGTATTATGCAAATGATTTCTTTAGTCTGGCAAGATTCTGTCTATAGATGAAGACTAATAAAGGAAATTACTCTTAAGTAACTGCGTTAATCTTTTTAGCAAGGACAGAGCTTTCCTATTTATGACACTGTTGTTATACATTTGTACTCTGCCTCAGGATCAAGAACTATAGAACATACAGTAACCAGTGGTGGAATTCAGCCAGTTCGCACCACTTCGACAGAACCGGTAGCTAATTTTTTGTTATCCAGGCCCAGAATGGACTTCCAAAAGCGGCATCCACACAGAGAACCGATTGTTCACATATTTGAATCCCACCACTGACAGTAACCTAGTCCAATATAAGTATTATACATGCAACAGGCACATTAACTCACAATAGACCTTCAAAGCATGTCAAAATACCACTAAAGATGATACCTACCCACAGTGGACAACAAGTGGGACATTCTTGATCTTGTTGGTCATATTTGCTTCAGCTGCATCTTGGGTTGAAAACTTCTGTTTGAGATTCTGGATCATGGTGGTTAAGTCTTGGGGGGTTTCTGGGAGAGCAGAACTATCCCATTTATGGTACTGATATTGAAACACTTTCTTGTTATCTTTCCTCTGCAACAAACACAGACAGAACAAAATAATCCATGAAGGTTCAGAGCCTTACTTGTACACGCACAAAATTCAAAATGCTTAACCTGGAAAGCCTGGCATAGTGCTGACCCAAATAATTACTTTTGCTGCAGAAAGCCAAAGACCTCACTAATGCTTCCTCAAAAGATCACTTAAAATCTTAGGAGCTATGAACTTCTTTACTGACATTATAGTGACTAAAGTGTTTAGTTGCTCAGTGCCTTGCTCAAGTTTGTCAAATAAAAACACCAGTTGACATTTATGAAGCTGTGTGGGGTGTCTTCGGCCTGGAATAGAGACAGAAGTCTCCTCTGCCCAATGTTTCCATGTAAGATGTAACCGACACAGACTTTTAAGAGGGATTTAGCATCAGCACATAGGTGATTCTTACAGACCTGTTTCCCAATATCTCTTTGACTAGGCTATTTCTACAATGAATGAAGGTGAATATAGCGTCCCAGGATACTGTTGCAGGATCCAGTCTAGGCCAGTTACCAGGACAAGCAGTTTAGTCTTCCGAGCTTTCGGACATGTGCTAGAGCCCATCCTCAGGGAACTTCTCTCCAGCAGAATGAACTGGGGAGAAGTTAGAAAGAAATTCCCCAAAGGTGAGCCGCAGCATGCATCCAAAAGTTCTGAAGACTAAACCTCTGGTCCCAGTGACCAGCCCAGATTGGATCCGGTTTCTACAATACTTGCTGTTTTGCACTTTCCTTCTCTCTAGTAACGGGTCAAGCCTCACAGCTTTATTGTTATTGTTTCTATTTCTGCTCTTGTGTTCAAACATATTGAAAAAGTATAACTTGAAAGAGTTAAAACAAAAGAAAATTATTTAAATAGAAAAATAAAATTACTGTAAAAAACAATCATACATAGGCATTCTTATAAAGATTATGTAAATAAAGAGATGGGTCTCAAAAGATGCCGTAATGACATGGTAGGTGCTTCTCAAGTACGATATAGATATAGATACAGATAGAAATAGAGATATTTGGAAGGGAAGGGAAGGGAAGGGAAGGGAAGGGAAGGGAAGGGAAGGAAAGGGAAGGGAAGGGAAGGGAGTCTACATCATGGTTTAAATTCAAGATGTATTCCCAGTGAGTTGGAGATCATTAGAATCCCCAGAAAATATGGCCAATGTTTGTCATGTTGGCTGAATTATAATAGTTGAAATCCAGCACAGGTGAAGGGCATCAAATGAAATGAATCCTATTTACACAACAGTAAATATGTAAATATGTAAATACAGGCTACTTTAAATCATTTGAACAGCTATAGTTTGTCCCCAAGCTGCATTAAAAGGAATCTATATCTATATCTAGATAGATAGATAGATAGATAGATAGATAGATAGATAGATAGATAGATAGATAGATAGATAGATAGATAGATAGATATCTCCATCAGTTCAATATTTGGAAACATAGTACTGTAGAATTTAAAATAAATACAGATTTGCTTAATGATATTAATAACATATAGAAATAAACATGGACACTAAAGAAAATAGAAAATGAAATTTTGGAAATGCAAGCAAAAGCCAGAGATGATGTAGATGAGGATGAATAATTAGTCTTTTTACCTTTACATGAGTTATATCAAAGGCACGAATGGTGTAACTGGAACTACAGTTGCTATCTTTTAATTCAACTGTGATATTATCATATGTCATTTTTTCTTCGTGCCAATACTGCGCACAGAGTTCCTAGAATTGAAGAAAGACTGTATCAGTGTTTCCTATGTGGAAGAAACATACATGGAAATATGGACAAAATAAAATGAGTTGCCTTGAACCAAATTATATAAGAGCAATATACAGGGAGTCCTTGGCTTACAACCATTTGTTCAGCAACTTTTGAAGTTACAATGGCACTGAGAAAAGTGACTTACTTCCAACCAGTCCTCCTTACTTACAACCATTGCACTATCCTAGAACAACCCAGAACTAAGGAGAAATTTCCTGACAGCCAGAACAATTAATCAGTGGAACAACCTGCCTCCAGAAGTTGTGGGTGCTCCAGCACTGAAAGTTTTCAAGAGATTGGACAGCCATTTGTGTGAAAAGGTATAGGGTTTCCTGCCTGAGCAGAAGGTTGGACTAGATGACCTCTAAGGTCCATTCCAACTCTGTTATTCTATTCAATTCTATCCCCAAAGGGAACATGATCAAAATTCAGGACTTGGCATTTGGCATGTATTTACGACAGTTGCCGTGTCCCAGGATCACTGTGTCCTCAACTTACACAGTTCATTTAGTGACTGTTCAATGTTGCGATAGCACAGAAAAAAGTGACTTATGACCGTTTTTCACAGTGACGCCCTTTGCAGCATCCCCACGATCGTGTGATCACAATTCCAATGCTTGGCAACAGGTTCATATTTATGACAGTTGCAGCATGCTGGGGGTCACGCGATCCCCTTTTATGACCTTCTGACAAGCAAAGTCAATGGGGGAAAGCCAGATTCACTTAACAACCAGGTTACCGCCTTATCAACTGCAGTGATTCACTTGAGGCAAAACATAAAATGGGACCAAACTCACTTAACAAATATCTCACTTCAGAACAAAAAAAATCGTTGGGCTCAGTTGTGGCAGTAAGTTGAGGACTGCCCATAATGGCCATTTGAAAACCTTCCTAGCTGGCTTCCAGCAAGCAAAGTAAATGAGAGAAGCCAGATTTGCTTAACCACCATAGTGATTCACTTTTAACCACTGCAGTGATTCAGTTAACAAACATAGTGACCAAAATCATTGTCATGAGCTCCAAAAACAGGCAGGGCTTAACAAATTTTGCAAAGCAGTGTGGAACTTAAAAAAAAAACAGCAACATATATCCGGGGGGGGGGGAAATCTGCAAAAAATGCATATCCTCTTTTTCATTTGTATTTTATACTTTTATAAGTTTAATAAAATTATAATTTAGGAATGCTATTTGCTAGAAAGGCAAGGCAAAACATCAGCCATAGCTGATGTTTGAACATTTGTGATAATGTTAGATGCAGTACATCAATGAGCCAAGATGGCGCAGTGGTCAGAATGCAGTATTGCAGGCTGACTCTTCCCACTGCCAGGAGCTCGATCCTGACCAGTTCAAAGTTGACTCAGCCTTCCATCCTTCTGAGGTTGGTAAAATGAGATTTTCTGGGCCAATATGCTGACTCTGTAAACCACTTAGAGAGGGCTATAAAGCACTATGAAGCAGTAATAAGTCTAAGTGCTATTATATAACTGCATTTGTAAAACACCTGAAAACAATAACATACTGAATATCTTTTTCTAAACACATATTCTTTGATAAATCACTTAAATACTTACAATCAGTTACAATCCTCTGCCTTTCAATCAAGGATAGGTGCCCTGAGGTAGATTCAATTTGTATATTTTGTTTCCTAATGGATATGCTTTTGGTCAGGGTATCTCTACACTGTTTGGTTTAGAGAATTGAAACTTCGGCATTTTTCCATAACAGAAATATAGTCGCAATATGACTATAGAGATAAATTCGCTCACCTGATTATCTGTCAACATAACAATAACTTTGACTTTCTTTTGATAAACCATATTCCAGAAGTCACCTATTGTTTCTGGAAGTGGTCCTTGTGTTGCTATAATTCCATTTTGAGTCCAGTAACTCTGAAAATAAATAAATAATTCAAAACCAATAATATGAAAATTTGCAGGGAGTAACATATAAATTGAATGCATGGTAAATTAGAGGAAAGATAAATTACTGTCTGACATTGGTTAAAAGATGGTAACTTGCTTTAAAAATCATCCATGCAATTGGGAGAGATCAAATAAAACCCCAAAAGGCAAATCTCGGTTGATTCAGTTAATTACTGACATAAAGTTCAAGAAAGCAATATATACCGATTCATACATTTGTATACATCTATAAGTACGTATCCATTGAGGTGTAGTGGCTCCTTGGCTTAATGATGCCGGAACTCTGTTCTGGGCGTTCTATGACAAAAAAAGCCCTGCCTATAACAGGCTGGTATCTTGGCAAGCCAAACTACTATTCTACAACAACCTTGTGGTCTTCTGGCTACTGTAACAAAGCCATATGCTAATAATAATAATATCCATTGAAAGTAGGAGGGGAAAAAATCAGATTTTTTTACGTTGAGGAAAAGAAATCTTTTAAGGACATTTTAGATTTCTGTGTCATGAAGAATGCCTTTTAATTAAATGATTTTTTAAAAAAAGTTGGAAAATAACTGTAACTTCAAAGACAAAATGAATCAAGTACACATACTGGTATAAAGGAAGCATTGATGTATTTATTGGGTTCCTCTTCACAATCACTATCCTCATCAGAAGAATCGGCATCGAGTTCACTCTCTCTGCTCCCTTCTTCTTCATGTTTGAATAACACTCTGTTGTAATCATCTGCACAACAAGAAAGTCAGAACATACAAGTCAGATATCTTCATAGAACTTAATAGCACATCTCAGTTATTCATAAACCACCATAAGAGCTTATCAGTGGCAGCTTATCAGTCCCGTTAGTCTAGAATAAATGATGCAAAGAATTATTATAATCATACAAGCTGGATCTTCATTGGTGTTAAAAATGGCAGCCATGCCTGCTTGACTCATTCCATCTCTCTCTCTCTCTCTCTCTCTCTCTCTCTCTCTCTCTCTCTCTCTCTCTCTCTCTCTCTCTCTCTCTCGTCTTCTACAGCAGTCAATCATCATTTCTTGACTGCTAAATAAGACCCTTTCATTGGGGACAAAAGAAGCAACCCACTTGCTGGCAAATAAGGGTCAGCATAGCAAGAGTACTTATATACCACTTCACAGTGCTTTACAGCCCTTTCTAAATGGTTTACAGAGGCAGCATATTGCCCTCAGCAATGTGGGTTCTCATTTTGCTGATCTCGGAAGGATGGAAGGCTGAGCCAACCTTGAGCCGGTGAGATTCGAACTGCCAAACTGCTGGCAGCCGGCAGGCAGCAGAAGTAGCCTGCAGTACTGCATTCTAACCACTGTGCCACCACAGCATAGCTATTTAGTATTTGTCTTGTAAGCTCTGAGTTGGTTCCTCCTGGGTTTCCATGTGAATTTTAAAATGCTAATATTAATTTATCTATATACTACTAAAGCTCTTAGGTCTGTCTATTTGTAACCTTCAACTGGGTGAAATAGTGCATTGTAAGGCAACAGTTTTTGAACCAAGGAACCTCAAATGGGCGAACGTGCAGAATGCATCCAAAATCTAGGATCATTACACTCATAGGATTGAAATTTGGAAATGTTGTGCCCACTTCAGCATTGCCATGCTGTCACATTGCTGTGATCAGCTGTGGTCACATGAAGTCATTGCTCTGATTGCTTCCCACAAGTCAGTGGGCAAGCCAGAAGGACAGGCACTGGAGAAACCCAGGTCCTGGTTTGTCCTTAGCCATGGAAACTCACTGAGTACCTTTGGGCCAGTTATTCTTCTTAACCAGGGTTGTTACTTTGGGAAAAAAACAGGAGGAGGAAATAACCTGTACAACATTTTGAGTCCTTATGAAAAGTGGATATAAAATTAATTAACAAATAAAGGTGATAAGACTTGGAGGTGTAAAATTACAAAGGAACTAAAAGTGCATTAATTCATCTTATATTTCTTGATTCCCCCCCCAAAAAAAATTGATTGTATCCCTTAGATGACTGAGGCAAAAGCTAATATTTTTAAGGGTCTTTTCTTCTGCAAATTACTTGGAGAAATGTGTGGCTTCTCACAGGAGCAGGAGATGCAGAAAGAAAGTTTCCATGCAGTTTGTTATAAAAGTTCCCAAAAAATTCTTTTAAAATGTAATGTTATTTTTTAAAAAATTCCATGGATCATTTAGAACAGTAAAACTCAGATTTCCCTTTTCAATACTCACATGGAATTACTGTGCAACTCCGGTTTTTCTGTCTGTTTTCTTCCTTTCTACCAGCTTTCTGATTCTGCCAGTTCCTATATAAAGGCAGTCGCTAAAAAAACAGATGTACAAAAGAAAAGTTATAGTTCAGCAGAAATGCTAAACTGTATCTCACCACTATACTGTGTTTACTTAATTTTAAATGCCAATCAACTAAGGCAGATATGTCAAACACAAGGCTCAGGGGCCGGATGCGGCCCGCGAAGTGGTTCCATGTGGCCCATGAAGTCATCCTGGAAACAGTGAGGGAATGGCCCCCGCTGCCTGGGCCCTGGCCCAGGCTGGCTGGGAGCCAATGTACAATTTTGTGGTGGCCATCTATGCTGAAATGCATTCAGTCTTAGCTCCACAAGGCCGTCTAGAAACAGTGAAGAACCAGCCCCTGCCGCATTGGCCCCGCCCTGCTGGGTGCATGCTGGGGAGGTGTCACCCTTTGTGAGGACTGAAGAAATGGACCATGCCTTGGCGCTTGCCCCAGTCCCACCTCCTTCTGCCAGAGACCCTCAGATCTGTCCCACTCCTGCCCAGGCCCCCACAGGCACCCTTGACGCGAACGATGTTGAGCTGGCCATGCCCACCCAGTAGGCCACACCCACTCCATCCACGCCCACCCAGTAGGCCGCACCCACCCTGGCCACATACCCCGGCCCCCCAAGGGCCCTCAATGAAATTGAGTTTAACACCCCTGAACTAAAGTGAGTAGAAACCAATTGGCAATGACACAGAGTATTAACATTCCCACCCCTGTTTAAAATTAAAGTATTAGTTTAGCAGTCATTTGCTGTATTTATTTTATTTTATTCATTTATTTATTTTTTAAAAAAGATGTCCCTATGGACTTTACTCTACTAATCGTTGTTGACTATAGGAGGTAGTGTTCATCGTTTCAAGGTCATGTCATGCTGTTCACATGGCCAGCATGACATCACGGAGTGCTGTTAGCTTCCCACTAAAGTGGTACCTATTTATCTACTTGCATTTGCATGCTTTCAAACTGCTCTATGGGCAGGAGCTGGTGAGGTGAGGACGGAAACTCACCCATTATGTGGTGCTCAGGTCTTGAACCTGGGCTGCTGGCTTTCTAGCCGACAAGCCAACAAGCTGACAAGCCCAGCATCTTAACCATTAAGCCACTGCATCGCCTCATTTATTTATATCCCATCATTATTATTTTCACAAATTTTCACTCAAGCCAGTGAACATATCCTTCCTCATATTTTCCCTGTGAAGTGGATTGGACTGAGAAAAGAGTGACTGCTCTAGAGTCACTCAGCCTGCTTTCAAGGCTAAGGTGGAACTTGAACTCATGGTTTCTTGCTTTCAAGTCTGGTGCCTAAACCACTAGACCAAGCTTTCTCTGTATGTCCATAGAAAGAAATCCTTTTTACCTGAAATTCAGCTTCTAGCAGAGATGGATCATTGGGAGAATCCTTTTTCTTTAGCTGGCTGAGATAGTTGGGCAGTTCTGAAACAAAGACTTCTGTTTCGCCAAACTGGACATATTCAACCAAAGCATGGTGGATCAAGATGTACTGTGCCTATTGGGTCCAAGGATTGCAGATCTTGTAAATGGTGGAAATGGAAAGTTGCAGCAAAATGGGACTGGTAATTGAATCAGCTCAACATTGCATAAAGTAATATACTGTATTTGAAATAAAATTCTTTAAAACTCCCATAGCATATATGTTATAAGGGGAGCTTATAGGAACTCTTGTTTTTAAAGAGTTTCCTGGACATTAGTCCCTTTGAATTCTATGGTGGTGGTTGCAGAAATGTATACAGTTGTAGGTAGGTGAAATAAAATATCACAATATAACAAAGGTGAGAATTATTTCATACATTAGAGAAAGGCAGTGCTAATTAATCGAACTCTTTAAATATACCTCCACTTGAACCATGAGGCATCGCTGACGTCGTAACTTTGCAATATACCCGTATACATCAACTCGTCCTTCAGCTTCTAATGCCTCCAGCATTGCATCAATTCCAATATAAGTTCCAGTGCGTCCTACACCAGCACTGTCATAATCATAAAAAAATAATAATACAATAAGCATCATTCAAGTTGCTGCTGTTAAGATTGACAGATGGGAAACATGCAAGATTTGTTCTTAAATCAGTTCAACTCAACTCACAGAGAGTTTGATGTTTGATAAAGTTATTCCTCTCATTACACATTGATAATATTCCTTTTATTGTTTAAATTGTTAAGTAAAGTTAAGCAAATATATTGCTTCAATTGTTTAGTAAAGATTGTGTGTTGGTATCACTATGCAGCTTTTATCAGTATCATCTAACTGGATGTGTAAAGGAAGATCAATTAAGCACAAGCTTATTGAGGAAAACTTATTTTACCTGCAATGGACTACTATTGGGCCACTAAAAAAGTTGCTTAAAGTATTGACTCGGCGGCGCAGCTTGAGCAGGAGATGGGGGTCATCAGGCACCCCATGATCTGGCCAGCTTGTAAACTGAATGTGGGTCACATCTCTTCCTGCTGACTTGTCTCTTCTCTAGAAAAAAAGTCAGTTTAATGTCAGTTAAACATCAAAAATTTGTAGCAATCATTGATTAGTCTGACATAGGCCAGAGGTGAACAAGATTATGAAAAGCCATCAACACACAGTCATTCCAGGTTCAGTTTGGTTAAGACTCCTTCAAGATAATCCAGTGTTAATCACCAAAGCAAAAATCTACATAGTAGGGCAATAGATATGGCAAAGAAAATGAGACAGGAATCAATAAACCATGGATGCATCTCATGATTCTAGGCATTTGGATATTATAACTATCATCTGGATATTACACGAAATGTCTCATAGACAAGTATCTACTTCTGTCAACCCTATCAGGTAGACCAGAGAGAAAATCAACTCCACAGGAAAACAAAAAACTATAGCTTATATTGATGTAGGCTATAATAACGGAACCTTGCAGATCTTCTTATACTCCAATAAATCAGGAAGGCATTTGGCTGAATTTCTTCCAGATATTATCTTGTTTCTCAGTATCTCACACATGTTTCAATCCTCTTTGCCTAGGTAGAGTTCTTGCATATTCTGCCAAGGTCATCTCCCTTACTTTCTACAATTATTGAACAAATTGTTACAAGTTTTGGTGATCTTACTTACGTGGTTGATGTGTAGCTTCTGAATTATGTAATCCGGACACACTTTGCATTCATTTATGTTTACTATAATGTCCCCATAAGATGCAGTCTCCTCCTCCATTGATGGCCAATACTTGGCACATTTGATCTATGGAAATACAAAGATGCTCAATTATTTTAGCAGGATGGAACATACACTTTCTGCTTTATTGCTAATCAGTTGGGTAGATTTTCAGTTTGTCTTTGTTATTGGGTATATCATTCAGTCTAAAGACACATTTACACAATGAACTAGCGCAAAATATATTTAGATTAAAAAGAGCCTCAGTGGCACAGTGGTTAGAATGCAGTATTGCAGGCTAATTCTACCTACTGCCAGCAGTTCAATCCTGACTGGCTCAAGGTTGACTCAGCCTTCCAGCCTTCCAAAGTCGGTAAAACAAGGACCCAGATTGTTGGGGAAAATATGCTGACTCTGTAAACTGCTTAGAGAAGGCTGTAAAGCACTGTGAAGTGGCATCTAAATCTAAGTGCTGTTGCTATTGCTAGATGGTTGTATGCTGCATGTCAAGCTTGGCCAAAGCCAGGTGAAGACACTAAAGTAGTAGTTGTTCACTTTTATTCCTTCCAGGTAGCATGAATAAAAAACAGGTCTTACCAGAAAAAAAATGGCAGCAGTTCAAAATAAGTTTAACATTCACATCAAAGCGAATAGACCAGCATAGGCTTAACATTAGCACAGGTAAGAGCTATTTTCTACTCTTGTTTCTCACATTCCAGTTCAGTAACCAACTTTTCATTGAAACAGATTAGTTTGCTTAGAATACAATTAATAAAACAAAAGGCAAAGTGCTAAACCCCAAGGCCATTATGTATCATTTCAGGTAGCTTATAGCAAAGACGTTTCCTGTTAAATTAGCTAAGCCAATTATGTCAACTTTCATTTTCAATAGCCATTGACACACTGGAATAATGGGTGCTTTAAAAGTGAGGTTTTTTCCCCCCAAGTAAAGGAACTAATAAATCACACAATGGATATTTTTCTCTCACCTTGCTGCCTTCCTCACAGCGAGTCACCATGACAACAATGGTTGCTTTTTGTTCCCAGATCATTCTCCAGAAATCGTCTATTGTCTCTTCCTTGGGACCTGACAAAAATATTACTTTGATCACGTGAAACATTTCAAGGTAATAATTAGGGATGGGCTAATTTCTCAACTGTAATGTCATAGAGTTTCCCTTTCTCCAGCCCTAAATAGATTGCATCTCATTGCTTCACTGGTTTGTAATTGTTTTTCCCACAGCACGAATATTTCCAAAAGTGTTTTTTTTCCCCTGTGGTTAGAAGAATATTACTTTCTCCAAATTGAAGTAGCACGGTGGAAATATGCATGCAAATATTCATATATTCATGCTTTTTTGTATATTTTAATAATAATAATCATTTATTAAATCTGTATGCCACGTGATTCTGGATGACATTTTTTCCTCGTGTAGACATGTTTTAGAAGGAATTTCCATTAATATATACACACACATGAATTTAATTTTATTTACAGGACTCCAATCAGTTGGTATTTGTCTCTAATATTGCTTTACTTCTAATTTGATATTTTTTCTTCTTGTCTATTTGTTTTATACTATTTTCAATCCATTCCATTTATTTTAACCAAATATATTTATTTCTAATTAAAGAACAGAAATTAAAAAGATAAAATGACATTTATCAATGGTAACCTAGAAACCACCATTTCAATAAAACCCAAGGTAAACCCACTCTTTATTGGAAACATTGACAGTTTTTCTATAGCAGAAATTATATGCAACAAAAGAATTCTGTTTAGGTTGTCTCTTTTAGATATTATATTATTTTTACATACTCCATACACACACACACACATTCAAATACACACATATATTTCACTTGGAGTACGAAGTAAGTATAAATACATACTCCATACTCCAAGTGAAAAAATATATATATATGAAGGGCCTTGGTGGTCTCTAGAGCTGAACCAAGCTCAGAATGTACCAAGGAGCCCTCATTTCAATCCTAAGCTACAAATATTCTCCTTCATTGGAAAAATAAAATATTTACTATAAAGATTTTGAATATCTTTAAAAAAAATTAAAAAACAAAGAATGTGAATTTCAAGTGTTTGGGTTTTTAAAAAAATATTTTAAACTATTTTAATTGTTTTATGGACTTTGTAAGTTACCACAAGCCTGTTGGAATGGGGACCATAACAAATTCAAACAAACAAACAAACAAATAAATTAAATAAATAAATTCTTAGAGATGTTTAACAAGAACCAACTAAACTTGGCTTTTTCCCCTAATATGACAATTCGTTAGATACATTTTTGCAGGGCTTTTTTTGGTCATAGGACGCACCAGAACAGAGTCCCGGCACCTTTTATCGATGGATTTTCAAGAGTTGTGTTCTTTTCCTATTGATGCCCTTCCTATCCTCGTTTGCTTTTGAAAATGCCCCGCTGGCAGTATGGTGCAAGCAGGGTCCCCTCCGGCGCTGTCTGCCTACTCTAGGAGGAGCCATGAGGCACTGGAGCACCACAGCCATGGTGTGGCTTGATTGGCTGGGTCGGACCATGTGGTGTGGAAGCAGATGGTGGCAGTGGGAGACACATAAACACAAGAAAGTGAGTGAGCCTTTTGCCTTCCCTTAGAGAAGGTAGGGTTAAAAAGAGGCAAAGCAAGAGGAAAGAAAGGCAGCTGGTGTGGAAGCTTGCCCAACAGCGAAATTTTGCTGTTTCAGTTCCTTGGGTAGTTCAAAGGCTGGGATGTCTATGAAAATCTCTTTTCAGTCTTTTATACTTTATATTCAAACTGCAGAGGGGAAGAATAAGAATAAAACAAATGCCTTGTGATTTGGAGGTATTATTATTAATAATAATATATATACTGCTCAAAAAAATAAAGGGAACACAAACGTATAGGATCCTATACATTTGTGTTCCCTTTAATTTTTTTGAGCAGTATATTAATTATGTATTGGTCAGAGGTAAAGGTAGACCTACAGTATAAGGTTTAATCAGATCTATTATTAAATTGGGTTTAACTTAAAGGTAAATTAAAAATAATCTGTTCACTGCCAAAGTTTCAACTTTAATTTGTTTCAAGTCAATATCCATATTAAACTTCAAATGTAAATTTTTCCACCTTGTTTGACAACTTCTTAAAAATAATTCAATCTTTTACAAGCAACCAAATTTTGTTCTATTGGGCCAATTTCATTCCACATAGAAAGCAGACATTTCTACTCATTAAACTAAATGGGTATGCCAGTGTTAAATGTCCCAAAAGATTAATAAAATGCCTTCTTGTAATTTAAAGCCACACAGTGCATGGTAACATTAATAGTATAAATTTTACCCTGAACAAAATCCTAGTCTTTTAGATACACTAAAAATTGAAGGGTTTTTTTTTTTCAACTACAAAGGTAAACATTGTAGGGTAGGCAAGACAGATTGTATAACGTGTGTGAGTTCCAGCGCCTTTTTTTTTTTTACAAAAAAAGCACTGCATATTTGATTATCTTTGTACAATCTATGGAACTGATATAAATTAATCCCTAGTGATGGTTACTGTGAACCAGCTAAAGGTAAATCTATGGAATCTAAAAGTTTATTATTTTGCCTGAAAGCAACTTTCATTTTAAAAGTTGCAATTTGCCCAGAACATAAAAGGAACAAAGCAAAGAAGATATAATTGCATGTCCTTATGCAAATAAGGAATGTGTTGCTCTCTAGGATAGAAAGAATAATGGATGGGCAAGTCGTGATGTAGAACGGGAAGGAAACTTCCACAGCTATACAGGTACATACCAATTTGTTTTATGGTATGAAAGGGCCCACCAGTTCTGCTTCAGAGACAATAGAGGTAGCAATAATTGTATTAATTCATTTCTATGTGCAATTCAAAGTCAGAAGGATAATACAAACCTTGTGCAGCAATGTATTTTCTCATTTCTTTGAAACCCTATGATAGAAAGTCACATATAAGAGTTAGAAGATGATAAACAATGTCTGACTATGAGTTTGCACATTTTGAATGAAAGTCACTCACATCGATATAGCTTGCATTTATGTAGTCGTATCCCTGCTCCCCAGGGCTTGAGGCAAGCTCCACACGGTTGTAGTCGTCTTTTCATATGGAAACAAAAATCAAGATCAAGAATGTCAATCAATATTGTCAGTTTGGTATAATTTTTGAAAGCGGGCAGGGGAGACAACGACTTGAAAATTTCACGTTTGCATGATGTGCTTACAGGGCAGGATATCGATGTAGCGGTTTTTGTTCTGGTTAAAAGGCTTGCGTGCTTCTTTTATAGGGTATTTACTGAAGACTCTGGGAATGCTCTGCAAAAGACAATATCCATCTGAGCAAAAAGCTTTAGGTAAAAAAACAAATTCAGAGAAAGGGTATGAGCTACTGAATCCCTGTTTTTGTTTTTGTTTTTGTTTTTTGTTGTTGTTTTTGGCAGCTATTCTGATTCCAGTTTTCTATTTCCATTTTGTTTAGCATAAGACACAAATAATTCAGCAGGATGTATTTCTAAATGAGCCTAAAACACAATAATTGAGGCCTATTAAATAAATAATGTAATCTGAACAGAGACATAAAAACACTTGTCTTTCATATTTATATACATACTTCAGATTATTATGAAGAGACTGTTATTGTATAGCCCAGGGGTAGGCAACCTTGGCTCTTTTATGTCTCGTGGACTTCAACTCCCAGAATTCTTGAGCCAGCATGGCTCAGCATGGAAACCTCTCCATTTCTCCTCAGCATGGCTGGCTCAGGAATTCTGAGAGTTGAAGTCCACGAGTCATAAAAAAGCCAACATTGTCTACCCCTGATATAGTCCTATTCAGACATATGTAATCTAATCTCCCTGATATTGAAAGGAAGGGGTTTTTTATGATGCTGCAATCCCTTGCTTTGGGGTTGAGTCAGGGCGACTGATTGGAACTGAGCATTTACTGGACGGATGCCTTCCTGATGCCTATGCAGAGTTTGCAGCAGACAATTACTCATTGCACCCAGAGAGAAAGATCTGCGGCTACCTAGGATCGAACTCACAGCCTTCTGATTGTGAAGCAAGAGCTCCACTTCTGGGCCACCAAGCCACTCCATCATATTGAAAGGGAGTAAAAGAATGAAAATGTATGAGACCCTTAGGGTGGGAACTATCTACTAAAGAAAGCCAACCACCATCACTCAAAGACTCTCCTTAGATTTTCCATTGGGATACTAACCTGAAATTCATCCAGAAAAAGCCTTCCTTCATCTGCTATTTTTCTCTTATAAGTCTCCCACAATAACTCTGCAGGAATTGGGTCTATGTTCTTCATGTGTCTTTCATCATCTTTAAAAGAGGTAGAAATATTTCCAGTTAAGCATATGTGCCTTGCTTCTGATAGGTATAATGAAACAGTAATTCAATACATGCTGGAGCACATGTGTCCAAATTATTGAATGGGTTTACTGCCTGAACTCAATGAGCTAAGCTTTAAAACTTACCCCAAATTATTCAATTCAAGGGCATTTGATTCATTTATGGCATATGCATTTAACCTTTCACAGTAACAGTGGAGAAGTGAATAAAACATCCCCTAAAACTAAAAGGATCATGCAACTGCAATTTATTACAACAGTTTTTCCATCTTCCCTTTAGGATCCTTAAATCTGCCAAGATTGAGACCACTAAAATGAAGGCAGCATACATTTTCTTGTAATTATTGCTTTTTTGCAAGAAAAAAAATTATACATGGATATTACTTGTAGATACTGTTTTTAATATTCTTCAGTGGTGCTAATTGCATTTTTTCTTTTAAAAAAATCCCTATGTAGGAACAAGGGCTTAGAAATTTGTTTTGATCAAGGATCAGGAAAGAATTAGTCTTTTTCCACATATTGTATATTTTTTTGTGATGCTAATCAGGCCACATTCTATTTACAATTGAGCCTGAATTAGAGCAAGATGGCTTTTATGTCTTATTGAAGTTGGCCCTCATTTACAAAGATAAACAGTGTTTTTTAGAGTACCTAGTTTAGTACATGTGTTCTTTGTATTAGAAACTCTTGAAAAGGCTCTAAAGCAGACATGTCAAACACAAGGCCCAGGGGCCGGATGTGGCCCATGACATGGTTTCATGTGGCCCACAAAGCCATCCTGGAAACAGGGAGGGAATGGCCCCTGCTGCCTTGGCCCAATTTTGTGGTGGCCATATATGCTGAAACGCATTCAGTCTTAGCTCCACAAGGCCGTCTGGAAACAGCAAGGGACCAGTTCCTGCCATGTTGGCTCCGCCCCTGGGTGTATGCTGGGTCACCCTTTGTGAGGAATGAAGAAATGCACCATCACTTGCATCACAAGTGGCCAGCAAATGGCCCTCACCTACTTCACATATCCAGCTTGATGGGCTCCGGGAAAGGGGTTTCTGCAGGCAGCGGGGCGGTCTCGTCACAGCGCCAAGAGCTGAGCTGGGAGGCCCGAATCTGATGAGAAGTGCAATGCTGCCTAGCCCTCAGCCCACCCAATTTCAGTAGGCAACAAGGTGCAAAGCTGGTGAGCTTCGCACTGCCCGGCTCAGCCTCTTGGCGCTGTGAGGAGAGCACCCCTCTGCCTGCCGAAACTGGACAAGCTGGGAGCTGGACGGCATCACGCTTCTTTTCAGATTTGCGCTGCCTAGCTCAGCCTCTCGGCATTGTGAGGAGAGTGCCTCGCTGCTTGCCAAAACCAGGCAGGCTGGGGGCTGGACGGCAATGTGCAGGTAACGTCGACTCTCACGTTGCTCATGGTGTCCCCTCCCCCAAAGCCCACCAAGCCAGATATGTGAAGTAGGCGAGGGCCATGTACTGGCCACTTCCAGGCGATGGTGCATTTCTTCATTCCTCATGAAGGGTGACACCTCCCCAGCTGCGTTTCTTCCCTGTTTTTCTCCTTCCCTCATCTCAAATATTTTCCCACCACTCTGGTCGAAGGAAGGAAGGAAGGAAGGAAGGAAGGAAGGAAGGAAGGAAGGAAGGAAGGAAGGAGAGGGAGGGTCTGAGGGAAGTCCTGCCTTAGTCCTGCCCTGCTGCCTATCCTCCTCCTGGCCTATCCTGGGGGTCTCCCATCCTATTGCTAAAGAAGCTTTGGATACAAAGCCGGGTCTCCTCCCTCTGACTTTGCCTTCGTACCCATCATGAGCAACCTGGCTAAGGAGAGCAAGCACAGCAGCAGCAGCCTTGAGGAGGAAGTAAGTGCAGCTGAGTGCCCCCTTGGGGAAGTGGGGCTGGGCTTGGTGCCGCGCGTGCTTGAGGGTTGGGCTGGGCATTTGACCTCTGCTGCCCAGAGCTCCAGGAAGCCCGTGGCACCATCCAGCCCCCCCTTGCATGGCCTGAGAGGAACAGTGAGGCTCTTCCAGTGGACCATGTCTTGGCGCTTGCCCTGGTCCCATCCCCTTCTGCCAGAGACCCTCAGATCTGTCCCACTCCTGCCCAGGCTCTCATAGTCACCCTTTATGTGAACGATGAAGAGCTAGCTATGCCCACCCAGTAGGCCACACCCACTCCATCCACACCCACCCAGTAGGCCGCATCCACCCTGGCCACACCAACCCGCCCCCCCCCGAGAACAACCGCAATGCTGATGCGGGCCTCAGTGAAATTGAATTTGACACCCCTGCTCTAAAGAAATATAAAATTATGCTGAATAAAGTTTAAGTTCACTGTTCAAAATGCCATCATAATAAAGCTAAAAGTTCATTTCTGGACAAAAGAGAGAGAATAAACTAAATAAAATAAAGAGTGGCTGCCACTTTTCACTGTTATTTTTACAATAATAATGAGTGTGCACAATTCCATTGATATATAGGCCATGTATCTATTGATGTAAGAAAGGATGATGAAAGAGGCAACAGTGGGCTTAGGGCTTCTCTTTATTGTATCTCAGTTCAGAAGTAGGCCAGGAAAACTCATCAAGGTAAAGAATTCCATGTAGCAATGGAATTCCTAGAAAAAAAACTTTCGTAGAACTATTTCAAGGGACCTAGAATTAAATATTTACCTCTGGTTACAAGCCTTACTCCTTCTTCTTCATCTCTGCAAAAAATATCAAGAGATATGACTGAATGCTGAGAACAAAATATTACTATTTTTCAAGACCTTTTAGTACACTGGTGTGATCAGAATGTGAACACATTAAGCATTTTTTTCTAATTCTGCTACTCCATCTTTGAAAAAGAGCAGGTTCCCCTCCTGTTCATATAAGACCCGGAACAGCAGAGTGTGCTGCCCTGATACATATTAAGAACTATTTCAAATGCCACATTTTTTTGAGCTAAACTTGAGGACAGCCTCACCCCCTGACATACAACTGAGCATATTCCTGATCTAAATTACCCTGGCTTTATGTCATTAATTGATCCCCCTGGAGACCACTTGAAACTGGTTTCACTCTATTTGCAGATCCTAAGACAGGCATAGCTTCAAATGCATGGCTCAGATCCTTTTACCAAGGTTTGAACCCACAAAACTTTACATGTGACGATTGTGTTAAGGCAGTGCACTTGACATTGGTGTCAAGAATTGGGAGGAAGGTCTATATATTTCATGTACATAATAAATACACAGAAACCTGGGTGCTTATTGGGAAAAAGTGGGGAAAAACAAAAAAGGTGAGGAAAATTAAAGGTCATCTCCTAGAAGAAAACTTGATGGTTGGAACAGAACCATTCAATCAGCATCTTTCTAAATGTTCAATGTAAGTACATTGACCAATGGTTTTTTTAAAATATATAAATCTAAAATTATCAAGTTCCAAGGAGAATAAAAACGAAAAGGCCAATAAATGAATGAAGTACATAAAAGTTACTTAAGATACTTAAGAGATTGCAAATAATATTAAAGAGAAATAAATTCTAAAAATAAAATATTACTTGGGTGTTAAGAGCTAAATTAAGAAGGCCAAAATATTAGTACAGGTAGTCCTCAATTTCAAACATTTGTTTAGTGATCGTTTGAAGTTCCAACAGCACTGAAAAAAATGAGTTATGACTGGTCCTTGCACTCACAACCATTGTAGCATCCTCATGGTCACGTGATCAAAGTTTAGACACTTGGCAACCAGCATGTATGTGCCATGGGGTCATGTGTGATCACCATTTGAGATCTTCCCAGTTGGCTTCCAACAAACAAAGTCAGTGGGGGACGTTAATGACTGTGTGTTTCATTTAACAACTGTAGTGATTCACTTCTGCAATGATACACTTAACAACCATAGCAAGAAAGGTCATAAAATTAGGTGCGACTCATTTAACAACCATCTTGTTTTGCATCATAAATTCTGGTCCCAATTGTGACTGTAAGTTGAGGACTACTATAAAACTATACCCCTGAGAAAATCAGAGTGACAATGAACTTCCATAAAATCGAAAGAAATCAATCAACTGAGAGGAGGGGGAATTTAAGTGTAGCTATTTAAAATCTGGAAGGCATTGGTTTCTGTCTTGAACACAACTGTCAGTAATTGTGATAATAATGAAAAATTCTTTCTATAATTTTGTGCAAAATTTTCTGCAGTGAAATTTACAGACCAGGGTACAGTTTTCCTATCAGTGTCATACACACTTAGAAGAGCAAAATAATGCATTTTACAAAGCTACCTTGAGTTCTTTCTGTTAAGGATGTATATTTTATACAGGACAAGAAGTAAAGCCAAAACTGTTACAGTAATCAGGAAGGCCAGGAATCCAATGACGGCTTTAGTATCATCTGTAGAAAGAAATGAAATGAAACAAAGAGTTTAAGAAATGTCAACATTTTGTTATTATCTTGTGATTTCGGTGTGTAAATTAAACTAATCAGGAATTTCTAAAATGTTAACATACACATGGTGCTTATTTCTTTCGATATTGGGTCTGAAGAATAATGTCCATTGGAAACCAATACCTGGTAAGAAGAAGAAACAATAAATGTAGAGATTTGAAATGCGCCAAAAATGAACTGTTACATAAATCTTCCAAAATTTTATATGAAAGCTATATCTTATGAAACCTTCATCAAGAATATAAATGTCTTAAGGGATGTTGTAAGGAACAGCTCAAAAATACAAAATAGAGATAAGAAAATAAATATTTCACCCCATCCTCATTTATGAAAAAGGAGATAAAAACTTAGATATTATAAAATATTTGCAACAGAGAAGCTGCCCAAGTGTTCAGTGCCAGGGTTAGGGTTATGTTGACTTAATTCTGAGGAAATGGCTAAGGATGCTTGGCTGTTAATTAATATATTATTTCAATTAGCAATTTGACTGTACTCAGTTTAGTTCTGTTTAAAATGGATGCAGGGTGCCCCTGACCAGATAAGGTTGTAGTTATTATATCTGACCGAAGGGATAAAAGATACACTTGGTCCTTGAAACCACTTGTCAATTGATAACCATTAATGACAATGATAGATCCGATTATTGCTAAGTATTGCTCCTATAATTCTGGAGCAATCCACTCCAGAACAGTGTATCCTGAATTTAATTATCAGATTAACCAAGTTTTCAGCTTGTCTGCATATCAGCCCTCATCCAATCCATTAGCCTGCTGAAGGACTGATTCAGAACATCAACTTAATTTATTATTATCTCAAAATCTTGACTTTACTGATGAGATAGACAGACAGACAGACAGACAGATATACTGTATTTCAGGGGGGAAAGGTGAAATATCTCAGTCTCAAGTTTAGAACAATGCAACTTACTGTAAAAGTGTATGTTTTCAAAAAAGAAAGCTTGTCCACTGTGAATCTGCAATCGCTGCTCTTCTTTTCATCATCACCATCCCATTTTAAAATATACTGCTCGTCGGGTCCATTTAATTCATCTGGTCCCGTACAATCAACCTCTACGATATTGTGTCCTTCTTTGGATAATCTTAAGTCAAGGCTTTTCAAAGGGCTTGGTTCTATTGAAAATTAAAATAGTTTTCATTAAGAGAAAATAAGCAGTGCTAAGAGTATAGGAATCAGAATGCTCCAATAATTTCAGGTAGTCCCTGTTTAATGACAGCTATCAGTTCCTAAGCAAAATGGTCACTAACTGAAGATGCGATTAAGAGAAAGACAGCGATGGATGCTGCAAAATTCACTGGTTGCTGCTGTTTCATTCAAATAAAGTTCTCTTGTACAGTGTCCTGTGTTTGACCTTTTTTCCCACCTTTTGTTTGTTCCCTTTCAGGTCAGAGAGATTGCTTAAACAAGCTACAGATAGTCCTCGACTTACAACAGTTCTTTTAGTGACTGTTCAAAGTTACAGTGGCAATGAAAAAAGTGACTTATGACCATTTCTCACAATTACGACCTTTGAAGCATGCCCATGGTTATGTCATCAAAATTCAGACGCTTGGCCTTCTGACAAGCAAAGTCAATGGGGAAGCCAAATTCACTTAACAAACGGGTGACTAACTTATCAACTGCAGTGATTCATTTAACAACTGAGGCAAGAAAGATCATCAAATGGGGCAAAACTCAGTTAACAAATGTCTCACTTAGCAACAGAAATTTTCGGCTCAGTTATAGTCGTAGGTCATAGATTACCTGTATCTCTTTCTGAGTTGTTTTTTTCTGCAGTGTAGCAGTTCCATAAAAAGTACTAACCACAATTAACAAGCTCAGCTCTGTGACCTTAATGAGTTGATTAGAATCCTGGATCACTGGCTGCTGCTGCCTGAAACTGACCAAGCCATAATCAGTTTTGCACCGGATATTTTTGGTGGTCCTAAATGTGTGCATTGGTTGGTAAATGATTTTTTTATTACTGTTTATTATAAATAGTCCTCAAGTTATGACCACAACTGAATCTGAAATTTCTGTTGCTAAGTGAAACATTTGTTAACTGAGTTTTGCCCCATTTGACAACTTTTCTTGGTATGGTTGTTAATTTCTTTTGTTCTTCTGTTGTTTTGGCAGTTTCCTTTCTGCTTATGCAGAAAGAACATGGTTCCAACTAAGTGCTGTTGGATTTCACAGCTACAACATCATTTAGCAATTTGAAAATTGTTGATAAGCAGATAATTGGCCTGTAGTTGACTGGTGCTGCCCATTTTATTGGACCTTTCATTATCAGGTAGATTTTGCCAGATGTTAATCAATCCTCAAATTCATCTTCTGGCAATATGTTGTTAAACTGTTTGGCAATGAGTAAATATAGACCAATCAGACGTTTCAGCCAAAAACTATGCAGTTCATTTTTATCTGGTGCTGAAATGTTCTTGAACTTCCTTGCCCTTTCCTCCACCATTTATGGTGTAATTATAAGTTCTTTCATTTCAGCTTTTTTTTATTCTATTCCACCTCCTTTATCTAAGCTGCATTCTTCTATTGTTTTGGATTGATCCATAGCTGCACCCAAAACTGCACTGTTCTTCTTTGTCAGGGATTGACTGGTTCACTGCAGACTCTCCTTTGATGAATTGCTAAAAATGTTTTTGATTTGACTGAAATTGGAGATTTTGCCTATGGTGTGCAATTTGAGATTGATATCGCTGATCTTCTTGACTATAGTTTTTATTTGCTGCTTTATTATTTCCAGTGCTTTCTTAATCTTTCTTGTTTCTAAGTGATATTTCTTGATGAGGTATTCTTTCATCTTCTTGTCCTTCAGCTTCTTTTCTTTTATCTGTTCTAATTTGCTTTTATCTGATCTTAGCTTGCTGATCTTATTTTCCAATTTGGTGATTTGGGGCTTTTTTTCTTCTTTGTTAATTTTGGATCCCAGGTATTCAATTATAACTTCAAGTCATGATGTATATTAGTTGGTTTGTTTCTTGCCGTGAGCTGGTGCTTAAATTTCATATTACCGTATTGGTATCTTTTAATACTTGGGCTAGTTGTTTCTTTGGAAGAAACCTCAATGTAGCCAAGCTAATTCTGTTGTTTTTGTGCTGTTCTAGATGTTTAGTTACTCTTTGTTTCAATTCTGGTGAATTCTTTTCAAATATCCTCTTCTTGTTACACTTGATTTGTAAATAAAGCATCGGATTCCACTGGGTCACACTGCAATGATGAACATATGCCAAATATAGAAAAGCAAGGACATCAGCCTGGAAAGCAAATGTACTGTAAGATAGTCCACTCTATTGTATTTCCTGTAGCTACCTATGGTTGTGAAAGTTGGACCTTAAAAAAGCAAGACAGGAAGAAAATTGACTCATTTGAGCTGTGGTGCTGAAGAAGGCTCCTATGTATTCCTTGGTCAGCAAAGGTAACTAACAAGCAAGTACTGGAGCACATAATATCAGATATGTCACTAGAAGGCAGAAACACAAAACTGTGTCTCACTTACTTTGGCCATGTCACATGGGGTAATTTACTGGAGAAAGCAATTATGTTGAGTGAAAGGAAACCAGGCTGTCAAATAATATAATGACTGGGCACCAGCCAGAGCAAAGAAAAACTAAAAGAAGTAGTGCAAGACCAAAAGATGTGGAGAGCTCTGACCCATAGAATCCCTGAGAGTCGAATACAACTGAATGGATAATACCATCATCCATCTGGTGGTGATGCTGCCTAACCCACATTTTTCTATCTTATCAAGTAGTAGATTGTGATCTACTTTGTCAAATGCCTTATTATCATCATCATAATTATTGCTTTGTTTTCAATCTTTGCATATTTGCAACATGTAAACCCCTTTTGGGACACAATGGATCCATGGTTAAAGATGATGAGCTTATCAGCTGGAAAGCTAACAGCCCAGGTTTGAGATTCAAGTGCTGATCCTGAGTTCCCATCACTTGCCCCAGCTCCTCTTCACCTAACAGCTCAAAAGCATGGATATGCAAGTAGATAAATAGGTACCACTTGAGCGGGAAGATAACAGTGGTCTCTGCACCTTGGTGTATAGTCATGCTGGCTACATGACCACAGAAACGTTTTCAGATAATGCTGACTTCTTCTGCTGGCTAAGAAACAGAATGAGCTCCTCCCCCTAGAATTGGACACAACTGGAGAGGGGAAACCTTTACCTTTAAATACCTTTTCTTCTAGTAGTCCTGCAGCTGCTGGCCCTGGTTGTTCAGCCAACAGTCCTGAGTTCTATGCCTCATTTGTACACATGTAGAATACACATGATGGCACTTTTTATATATAACCATCCAGAGTCGCTGGGAGTCAAATAACATATAAATTTAATAAATAATACTAATATTATATATTGTTGTTGTAACCTTACCCCCAATTAAATATTCACAGTTAAATTTAAATATTTACAATTAAATATTCACAACTTACTTGTTGACTGAGTCTTAATAGACTCAGTGCAGGTTTCTCCCTCAAGTGGTGGGTGATTTTTTGTTTTTGTATATGCCCGTACTCTCATTTCATAATCTGTGTAAGGTTTTAAACTGGTCCTTGTATATTGCATGTGATTATTTTCTTCAAAAGTACCTAGATTTTCTGGAAATGTTAAAAGCATAAATGCATTCAAATATAAATAATGTTGGTGCAGACACAAATTCAGAAATAATTATTGACACTTATTTTCATAAAAGGAAGCCAATCTCCCATTAAAATTGCCAAAATAAAGATGGATGAATGAACATGTCAGATTTGATTTCTTATTTTTTCTGAATCCAGCAACTTTCATTTGCCAAACTGAGATCTATTTTTTTTTTAAAAAAGTTTGCACTAAGATTTCTATGTATTTTGATCTATACTTATTCCAAACATATCCATTTCATTTGCAGTTTTGCATATTACATTTTTGCCATTTTCTTTAACAATGCAGTTATGAACATTGTTTTCACAAACTTACATTTTCTCTAATATATATATTTTTAATTAGAAAACTGTAAAATGGTGGAATTTGAATATTACCTAACTAGGTTCTACATTAATATGAGTTAGTTAGATACTTTCCAATGTAAACTAAACAAATTTCCTACCTTACTTCAGAATAATACTTTGCTTTGATTAATTTATCCTCAATTGATTTTTACCTCAGAATATTTATTGTAGTTTAAAAGATTTTTTTTTGTTTTAGGTAATAATAAATTGTTCACTTCAAATATGTGTAAATTACGCACAATTACTATTGGAGTTAGTGCTGGAACTTGGAAGATGGAGAATCCAATTCTAATAAATTCTAGCTCTATCTATCATCTGCCTATCTATCTACTTGGGGAAATTAGTTTCCTAAGCAGCACAGTTGCTCATGAGGTTAGAACACTGTCTGACAATTGGTTGGCTCATGTTCAAGACCCAGTCCCCAACTGGGCATTCCCAGGCAACAGTGATCTCACCAGCAAATCCTTTTGCCACAGAAGTACTTCAGTGCTTCTGACATAAAAAAAAAAAATAGTCTCCTAAGGGAAGTGGATGGATGGATGGAAGGGTGGAGGGATGCAAAGATGGATGGAAAGAGAGAGAGAGAGAGAGAGAGGATGAATGAATGGATGGATGGACAGATAATTTCCTGCTTTTTCCTTCTGCTGAACTCCCAGCAACAATACTGCTTTTATTTCTATGTTGGTCTAGGTGACAGAACTTTACTTGGAATTAAAAATAATTTCTCTTAATATTTCAGTCCATTCCTTTGTTCAAATGTTGAAGGACATGTTGACAACTTTATCTGTTCAATATATTAATATGAACTGGAGTGGCAACTGGCTTTTATACTGGCACCGATACAATGCACAAGCTGTGTACAGACTGCCAAGATATCTGAGATGTAGTACTGGTTGAGTGGCATCTACTGTCCTGCCCTCCAAGAGAAAGGGAATAATTTGAAGTACAGAAGACGTGGCTGAGGAGTAATCACTGTCCTCCACCAATATCTGCCATGCCTGTCTGCTAATTGAAACTGGGATGATACTGTGAATATACATTGAGATCTACAGAAAGGAGAACTCCTTCAGTTTGAAGAAGTCAATACAAAATCAAACTATTTTCACTGTTAGTGATCAAGATTAGAAAATTACTCTGAAAATATCCTTGAAATTAACTATGTTATTCATATTCAACAGAGTAAACCTATTACTAGAAGAAGAAGCGAACAAGAGTAGCTACTTGTCAAGATTTTTACAATGATCCATCCAGAAAATTTTGAAAATAGTTTTTTAAAAATCCTGAAAATGCATGAGTAGGTGTTTTCAAACAATTGGAAATACATATCAGTAGTACATAGCAATATTGGCAGTATTATTAGTATACATACATACCACCAGTTTTTGTATTGCGTATATTGATGTTATAACCATGAATAGGGCCATTTCTCTGGTTTTGTGGTGCACTCCAAGTAACTGTTATACTTTCTGCAGTTGAGCTTGATAAACAGTTTTCAGGTGTGTCTGGTACTGATACAAAAATTAACAGAAAATCAAGTAATGACAAGATAATGATCTCTGGGACATGACAACAATAAATAGAATATGAGCAATATAAACCATGACTACCATGACTTTACGGAAGGGAAAGAGAACCAATGTCTATCAGTAGATTGTGCATTTGTGCAACATTGTGTATTTCTAGAAAATGTCAGGAATTTCAGGTTTTAGGAAAGTTTATCAACTCCAAACAGAGTAAGAATACAAGACCAGCAAGTCCTATGTGGGATTAATCAACTACCCACATAGACCAACCACTTCTCCAACTCCACTTTTACAAAACTTCTACATGCCCCAGAGGTCATATTGATTCCTTAGGTTCAGGACAAGTATATGGTGATAACATCTCTTGAGAGTTGAGTGGCATGTACTGCAGGTGTACTAAATTCCTCTTTCCATAAAATACATCTCTTTAGAAATCACATATTGGTCTCCAGAATCTCCTGCCAGTTGGGCCCGTAAACAATGAATCATAAACTTTCATCATTTCTAATCGCATTTTTTGTTGGTGATTATAAGAGCAGTTAATAATTCCCAATGACTTCTGATGGGATGAGATGAAAAGTCAACACATCCCGTGCTAAATCTGAGCAATTATCCTGAGATCTGTGTGCAGAGGGAGAGTATTTATAACAACAGCAGAATCTCCAAGTTATTGAAGATTTTAGAAAATCAAAATATAAATGACCTGCATTCTCCAAGTAATGTACAATTTTCTTGTTAATTAAGGTTATGACTTATTATGCTATAGGTATACCAATCTAATGTTCTCAGTAGCAAATAATAGTATTGAATTGTCATTGTCTTTTTCCAGGATTTTCCTAATTTAATCTAAAGCCTTGAGATTACTAATGCTCTTAAGATCAGCCAATCATATTTATACTGTTACCCTCAGACATAAAAAAAAAAAAAACCCGGAGGAAAGGAAGAAAGGAATAAAAACCCAACACGGTCTTAAGTATTATAAGTGATTTTTTTAGATGACAATGGTAGAAATTCTTTAAAACCTTTGGGCCAAATTAAAAGTAATTTTAAATGCATATTTGCACTTAATATGCATGCTTTTGTTGGTCCCGAAAAGAAGTAACTTTTTTTAAAGCAGTTACCTATACTGGGAGGAAATCACAAATTGTTGATCTTGCATTAATTCTCTTTAATCTCATTATCCTGTGAGGACCACCAAATAATTTACCTTTACTAAAATCATCCTATGCTTTAATCAGAGGGCTGTAATTATGGAGTCTTCCAACATAATTATAAAACTTGGTTGAATTGCAGTTAGCCAGGCAAAAGTAATGCCATGCTTTTCCAGATATCTATGATGTCTCTATAGCATCTCCACAGCATTCATTGTATGGAAATATTCTCAGAATTCTAAGCACACTGTACCCACCACAGATGCGATCCTTGAATCCGATCCAATAGTTCTGAAAAATCTTTTCAGGGTCTGAATTAGTTCAGTTATTCTCCATTAAAATTACTCAGATGTTGGCCAGTAAGACTAAAATGCGAACCTGGGAGAATGGCTTCAGTTTCCCTATGGACCTGGCTGCTTATAATGAACTTTGCTGATTTAGCATTATAGTCTAATATACCTTACCAATTATCAGTTATCACGATCGCTACACATACCTCTTCCTGTTTAAATACATGCAGAAATATTTAGTTTTGGGGCAAATTCAGTAAGTAGTAAGTAACAAAGCATAAGAAAATAATGGTGTGATACTCACTTCCATAGTCCGTAGTTAATTTAACTGTACGATTTATTGGTGTATCATGAATAGTTGAATTGCATGTGTAGTTTGTGTTGGGTGACACTTTAAATATATGCTCTGGTTCATTCACATGATTACACATGGGGCTAGACTTATTATCTGTAAGAAATTTAAAAAAATATTGCCCTGAAATCTAAGCATCTGGGAGATTTTACATCTTCAACAGTCTTGCGAAGCCTAGATATAATTATCCTCCAGATGTGTAAACTTCAACTCCTAGAATTCCCAAACTGGTGTAAGTATCACTGAGAATTCTGTAAATTTAAATGCTCAAGAACATCCTGGGTTGGGAATTTTGATTTGCATGCTGAGTTTTGATTTGATTTTTAAAGAAGAAAAAAATGATTTGCTTTTCGAAGGAGAAAAGAAAATTAGATCTACAATGCAATAGAAATAATCCTAAAGACAATCCACCAGAAAGTTGCATCTATACCACAGATAGTCCTCCTTATTGGCCATAATTGGAACCCACAATTTGGTCATTAAATGGAGCAGTCACTAAGCAAAACCATGGCTGTGCTTATTATCTTTCTTCAACTTTCTTTTGCTTTACAGACTTTTGAAGGTCATAAATGTGTCGACTGGTCACAAAGTCACTTTTCATCACTGTATAAGTCAGTTGCTCAATGAGGACTTTCCATATGTACATAAAATGAAAACTCAAATTGTTTAAAAAATTTTTATAATAGTGCCTTTATCTTTTATAAGGTGAAGCTCTTATATACAAAGTACTTTTTGATTTCCCCATCAATTTTAGATCAAATGCCTTTTTAAAAAAATCCTACCATTTTGGAAGCAACAATATGAATATTTCAATTTACACCCATCATCAGTGTCCCAAAATAAAGTTATTGTAGTATTACTGTAAGTTTTATTCAATTGCTTGTTATCTGAAAGAGAGGGAGAGAGAAAAAATGAATTCATTTAAGTATTTTTCATGTTTTAAAAAATGCTGGAAAATTACCTCTTTATTTACGTGGGTCACAAAACTGTACACTGGATGAAACATTAACAAAGTTTTCAACAAACAAGAAAGGAAGAAGAAAGGTGGAAGGGTAATTCCAACGATGAGCAGCTCCTTATTAATCTTTTCAAAGAATGTTTTCTCACATTTAGATCCCAACATTGGAAACTCTTTTTCTTCCATGGGCTGATAGGCCTTGTCTTACCAGGTCATTATTCTCCCAATGGGACTAAAGTATAAAACACCATGTCCAGCCAGAGAATAGGTTGTCTTGGTTTTTCCCATGCTTCTCGCCCTGAAATCTTCATCTGCCTACCCAACACAGCTTGTAGGGAAGCTGGGATACAAGTTATGGGATGAGGGAAGCAGATATATCAAGTGAAAGCAGTTTCTGGTTTTCAGCTGTTAAATGGGATTCCTGGAAAAATTCCCTGAAAGTTGCTAAATCTTCAGTTTTACATTTGAAAAGCAAAATGCCCCAGCCATTCCTATTTTAAGTCTGTTGCAAAATATTCTTCGAACAGGGAGTGGTACTTGGTAACACTTGGGATCTGGAGATCATGTCAGACAGGAACAGTGTTTCTAAATCAGGAAATAGCTTTCTGATGAGTTACTACCAGCCCCACCTAACTGGCAAATTCAAGAGTCGCTAGGATTTCAGGAAAGCATCTTTAGGGCTAGTAATGATAAAAACATAATTTTGAAAATTCCAATAGTCAAAGTAAAGATAAGTTCAGGTTCTTGCTTAATGATGGTAATTTGGACCAGCAACTCCATCATCAAGTGATGCAGTTGTAAAGCATGATGCCACGTGTTTGTTCCGGTTTACAATGGCAATTTACAGTTGCCATGAGAACATGAATCCCACATAACTGTTAAGCAACACATTTGTCTTGTTCTCACAGCGTTAAGGCATGTCTATTTGGTCCATCTCATTTAGCTAAATTTGATAAATTTGTACTATGTATTGCTAAGAAGCAAGATAGCCCCACCCAAAAATGATGTTTAATGCAGGGTTTAACAGAGTTCAGAAAACAACAACCCTTAAGAACAATAATGTGGATTTTGTTTTAATGAATTATAATTACCAGAAACGGGAACATAAATAGGAAACGATCTTTCACAATCCTTGTTGAACTTTGCTATTATGTTATAGGTTTGGCATTCTTTCAAAGGAGATAAAGTATTGTTCTCTTTGTTCCAGTCACAAGAACTGCAGGCAACATTCAGCAAAACTAATGATCCATTAAACCTAAGATATGCAGCATCCTTTGTAAATTTCTTAGAAAGGTGAATAGAGTCTACAAGACAAATGAACAAATAAAAGTTGGATGTAATCATTCTGAAACTTTAATATAAAAGAATTAAATCCATCAAAGGCCACAAATGAGATAATAAAATATGTAAATCATAAGTTTACAGTTTATTCCTGTATTAATTAAACTAATTAGTACTCAGAGGATTCCACTTCTGCTCTATGGCAATGGCTCTGCTCTTATAAAAACTTCTAGAATCAGTGTAATCTAAATTTTTCTGGTTAGATTTATGAAGCCACCTCAAATCATTCTTCAAGGTCCTTGATGTGTTTACTCAATCTGGATTAGGTTTTCCTATACCGCTTAAGATAGTAACTGAAAATAAATTATGAAAATTTGGCCCAACTAGTTCTTACAGATTAATTTAATTGTTTAATTGTTTTTTTTTCTTTTCAGCCTATCAGTTTAAACACTAAAAATGATGGGTCTGGACAAAGCTATCTCTGAGACCATACAACATATCCTTAGTCTTTAACAAAGACTAACAGATCCAAAGTCCCAAATTATACTTCCAAATGACCTTTTCTGGAAATTTTCATTCTCAAACAGGAAGGCACTTACATTACACAGTTTTAATACTAGATCCTCCAGGAGGTAGAGAATAGAGGGATAGTTCAGCAACATTTTCAGTCTAGAACAGACATGTCAAACACAAGGCCCGGGGACCGGTTGCGGCCCGCAAAGTGGTTTCATGTGGCTCACGAAGCCATCCTGGAAACCTTTTAGAGACTGAGGCCCAAACTGCAACCCAAAACCCACTAATGCATCATCGAGTGCCGGATGGGTGTGGCCCAATGGCTGGGTGTGGCCAATTGGGTGGGCATGGCTGCAGTAATAACGGCAGAGTGGGTGGGACAAAAAAGTTCAATCAATCAATTTCAACTTTGCAAGATCTTTTTTTTCCCGTGAGAAGTTGAAATTGACTGATTAACTTTTTTTTTTTTTTGCACAGGCCTAAAACGAAAAGGTTTTATAAAACCCAGCTGAAGGCCTAGGACTGGGGCAAAGGCATGCATGCCCACAGAGAGGGCTCTCAGTGCCACCTCTGGCACCCGTGCCATAGGTTCACCACCACTGCATTAGGGCTAGTAATGATAAAAACATAATTTTGAAAATTCCAATAGTCAAAGTAAAGATAAGTTCAGGTTCTTGCTTAATGATGGTAATTTGGACCAGCAACTCCATCATTAAGTGATGCAGTTGTAAAGCATGATGCCACGTGTTTGTTCTAGTTTACCATGGCAATTTAGAGTTGCCATGAGAACATGAATCCCACATAACTGTTAAGCATCTTATATATATGGCTGGAAAGCTACCTATTAAGCAAGCTGCCAGTAGGCCTCGACCTTTGACTATAATTGAGCCCAAAAGTTATGTTGCTAAGTGAGACATTTGTTAAGTGAATCATTGCAATTGTTAAGATAGTAACCTGTCTGTTAAGTGAATCTGGCTTTCCCATTGATTTTGCTTGTCAGAAGGTTGCAAAAGGGGATCACATGACCCCAATGTCATGACACTGCAACCGTCCTAAATGTGAGTCAGTTGTCAAGCATCCAAATGTAAATCACGTGGCCATGGGGATGCTGCAACGGTCATAAGTGTGAAAAACAGCCATAAGTCACTTTTTTCAGTGCCGTTGTAACTTTGAATGATCACTAAATGAACTGTTTAGTCGAGAACTACCTGTATTTGTTACCAATGGATAAATACAGATGAAGAACCCATGAAAATGATTCTCTGCTAAGGAGTCCAACAAAAGCTCTTCATTTTTATTTTTATTTTTTAAAAAAGGTATAATAATTTATATGCCATGTATATATATATATATATATATTAATACTACAAGAATATGCAAAAGAACTATGGAGACAATCTTTCAAACTGATAGAGCTTCTTTCTTATTCAAATGGTTATAATATATTCCATCTTCTGGGGGGGTGTTAAAAATTAAAAACTTACCACAATCCTTATTATTGTCTGTAAAGAAAACAAAAAACAAAAATAAGTGAAAGTCATTTGTAGCAAATGCCTTTAAGAGAAAAAATATCATTTTATTTAATATTAATATTTTTGGATTTATACATTCATGTACATATTTCATTGTGTTCTGGTTGAGAGGAGGAAGATTAAATAATATGTTGCATTGCTTAATAGAATTATTTCATAATTTCATGAAAACAGTAATTGGATATTCAGCATCTGGCTATATTTAGGATGTGGCTCATAAACCGTGCTAAAATGATCTGCCCAATTAATGACATCAGACTTCAGCAGACATCAATCATAGCTTAATTTCAGAATATAATCTATCTCTGAGGTTTCAGTAGATACCTCAGTAACTTTTGGTTGTGTCAGACATCCCCAGACTCTTATATTGGAAAGGTGAATTGGACTGCTCTAAGCAGTTGCAGAGTTTGTAACAGCTTCACAGTTATTAAACTAAACGCAGGTAATCTTCAACTTACCACCAGAATTGGGACTGTAATTTATGTTGTAAGTCATTACAATCAAGTTGAGTCACCCCATGAACAGACTCAATTTTATGAAATTGTTACAGTGATGTAAAGAGAATCACATGGTCACAGCTTCCCAATGGGGATTTTTTGCCATATTTGATCAGAAACTGCCCCCCCCAAAGTTGTATATTGCGATCACATGATGACAGACATTGCAACTGGCTGCATAGAGCAGTGGTTCTCAACCTGTGGGTCGGGACCCCATTTGGGGTCGAACGACCATTTCACGGGGGTCGCCAAATAAGGTTGTCCGCCATTTTTTCCCCTTTTCTTTGGCCACGCCCCTGGCACCCAGTGATGTATAAGTGGTTGGGGGTCACCACAACATGGGGAACTGTATTATGGGGATGCAGCATTAGAAAGGTTGAGAACCACTGGCATAGAGAGTCAGTTGCCAAATGCCCAAATTATGATCATCTGATTGCAGGGGAGGGTGCAGCCGTCATAAGTGTGGGTCCAGGTCATAATCTCTTCTTATGAGACTGTTATAACTTTGAACCACTGTTAAACAAATTCTCATTAAGTTGAGGTCTTCCTATAGCTGGGTAATTGCCCAATACGCTATTCAAACAAGCATATAATGAGTAACCATACTGTAATCTTGCCTTATGCAAACTTCAGGAAATGCATCAGAGTTGACCAGAATTTAGTTACTATGTATGCAATATTGAATGGGAGCCAGATAATAAATATGTCCTCCACCCTCTTTTTTTTCAGAAAGTTTTCGAACATTGAGGAAATTAAACATGCTCAGAATCTTCATTAAGGTTGTGGCAAGTAGGATATAGTTGTTGCTTTCTACTGTCCTTGCTACATGAGGCAGTAACATTCCACCGCCCTATAACCTCCTTCTATTACAGTGAAAGATAGACATCATAACATCACAGTGTAAATGCTCTGTGATGTATAGTTATTGATAGGGAATAACCGGCTACTTTGGTGGAAAATGTATACTATACCAGTAGATTCTAATATAATACAAAGCCCCATTCATCTCTTGCTTTCATTCAACACTACATATACAGTGTTCTGCTTGAGAATTTTTAGCAAAATTATGGTGTACAAATCACAGTAACCTGCAGGGTAGACCATAGTGAACCAGTTTATCCTCAACTGGCCTCTTTCACTGACTCTGCTAACTATTTAACAGCAGCAATGGGGTTAGATCATCCTATGAAAACATTGCTCAAGCTAAGTGAAGATTGAGATACATAAGCAAGCTCTTACTTCAACCTTCAGTCTTAAGATTGTACTTGAAACACATTGGGAAGCTTGTAAATCTCGCCCTCGCAGTTTTTAATTGATGGTTTCTGTTATAGTTGTCTGTGTAATCAACTGAGACCCATATAGCAATCATGCAGAAATGCACTGCCATTATTAGAGTAATCATAGGTTTGGATTGTCACAGTGCTCCTTCATGTTTTTGGAGATACATGCATGGGCATATCTTCATCCAGTGAAATAAAGCAAACTGCAAAGATCTAACCTAATTGATTTGTCACAGCGTAGTTAATTCTTCTTCTTAGCAAGCCTGAAGAGAGGGCATTTATTAGGATGGGAACTTTAAAAGGGGAGAGCAACCTTAATATTTTGTTTTTCCTTGAAGACGTTTCACTTCTCATCCAAGAAGCTTCTTCTGTTCTGATTCAATTCTTCAAAAGTTGCCTTTTGAAAAAGCACCTCAGGGACAACCATGACCTGGATGATTGAGTATTGTCATAGATATTTTGTTCTTTGTTTCATTTTGGATTTCTATGTAGAGATTGGAGAGGATGTTTTTTTGCCATGGGCATTGCCATTTCTCTTTGGCCATTGCAATTTCTAGACCATCTTCTAAGTCATTCTCAGTTTCAAAAAGCAGAATGCTTTTCAGTAAGCCACTTGTGAGGCCACTAGGATATGGTCCATTAGGACTAAGCTCTCTTGGTCCAATTAGAATTGCAGCTGATGCATAAACTGAAGCTGGCCACAGGCCTCCCTTGCCACAAAAACCTCCCACCTGTTTTCTGAGACGTTCTGGGGTTGTATGGCTGTTATGCAATTTGCAGCTTTATAATTGACAGAGTTTTCCTGAATAAAAATTTAGCAATCTATAAAAATCTTGTTTTTGGAGATTGATTCTATAGCAGATGCATGTGGATAAAAATCGTGATCAAGATTTACCCTTCAAATGAAATTATTTGACCCATACACATTTTCATGTGAGCAAACACACTTTAAGATTATTACAATGCATTTCGTATGTTACATAAATGTAGTGGGGCTGCCCTTGAAGATTATGTGGAAGTTGCACTAGGTCTAGCATGCAGTGGTATGGGCCATTATGGGGCATCTTGGTGTTCTCATATTAATTTTCTGTCCTGTGAAGTTCCACTGGGTGGAATTCAAAGTGCTGGTTATCATTCAGTCATTCTTGGCACAAAACTGGATTATTTGTGAGACCATTTTTTTTTTTTTTTGCCAATTGTTTCTATCAGTCTTGCTAAGTCTGATAGGAAGATCACAATTTAAGTTCCCTCAATTAAATGCCAACTAATAGGATCTAGGAAGTGGACCCTTTTTTAGAGAGATTAGATAGACCCTGGCCCTATTTGTCTTTTACAAACCATTGAAGATCTGAATGTCTTCCAGAGCATGGGAGACAGGAGGTTAGATGGCACATGAAATGATATAGATATAGTTCTATATTTATTGGGGGGGGGGTTCTTAGCAATCATCATAGCTTTCTTTATTTCTAGTTTTCTGCATTGATTTTCATGTGCTGTTAGCTGCCTAGAATAGCATCTGTGAGGTAGGCAGCCATATAAATTGATTTAGTAAATAATCAATAAATATATAAAGTGCCACTCTAAGGGAAAAAACCCACTATTGTTTTATGGTAGGCCTATTTTAATGCCTATTCCTTCTTACAAAATTGTAATAGTACAATGAAATAATTATAATACTTTAAAATGAATTGGATACATATAAATAATTAGAGAGCTAGTTTGGCATGGTGGTTTGAGGCACCAGGCTAGAAACCAGGAAAATAAGGTTTGTAGTGTCACCTTAGGCACAAAGCCGGCTAAGTGACCTTCGGCCAGTCACTCTCTTACTACCCTAAGATGAAGGCAAGGGTAAATCACTTCTGAAAATCTTGCCAACAAAGCTCCAGTGATCTGTTCAGGAGTCAACATTGAATCAGAAACAGCAACAACAACAACCCCTGAATCAAGTACTTTATGAGTTTTAGCTCTTCATTCAGATTATAGGGCTGAATGCAGAATTCAGAAATAGTTTCTACGCAATTCCCACTCAGTTCAGTCAACTTCTACAAGAAAAGTGTTTTTGACAAATTTCAACTGTTTTCAAAAACTTTGCATGCACAGTAAGTAAATGGGTGCAGGTTTGTCACCTATTGAGGTGGTGCTTGGAAGGGCTGAAGAGATGCTTGTTGTGGTGCCAGTGGTTGGTGTAAAGAAAGTGCTCCCATTATCTGCCAAGGAAATAAAGAGAATGTTAGCATCACATTCAGAAATAACTGCTAATATATTTAAAGTTTGAAAGAAAAGAAAATGTGCCGTGCTGCTTTTTCAAATCAAAAGTAGAAAATTTAAAAGTGTAATCTTTTACACTCTACACATTACAATGTATTACAGTACATGCTACATGCAATCTACTACACAATAACAGCTCCTAAATTCAACAGAGCTTACTTCTGATTAGAAATGTATACAGCTAATGTTAATTTAAGGTGCAATCCTTCCCCTACTTAGTTGGAGATTATGACTCCTCCCAGTGGTTGCAATCAGGGGTCATGATAAACAGTGGTCTGTCATGATGGTAATCAGATTAGGCCCAAATTAGCCCTTTGGTGGGTTTTTTTTCACCCCCATGGCTTGCTGTAAAGGAACAAGCTGTTAAGACAATGATGGCGAACCTTTTAAAGACTGTGTGCCCAAATTGCAACCCAAAACCCACTTATGCATCGTCAAGTGCCAGGTGGGTGTGGCCAATTGGGTGGGCATGGCTGCAGAGGTAATGGCAGACTGGTTGGGACTAAAAAGTTCAATCAATCAATTCCAACTTTGCAAGAACTTTTTTTTCCCGCGAGAAATTGAAATTGACTGATTAAACCTTTTTTTTTTTTTTTGCACACAGTGGCAGAGGCCTAAAGCAAAAAGGTTTTATAAAACCCAGCTGAAGGCCTAGGACTGGGGTGACAACGCAGGTGCCCACAGAGAGGGCTTTGAGTGCCACCTCTGGTTCCCTACCACTGTGCCATAGGTTCGCTACCACTGTGTTAAGAAATATGTCGCAAACCTGATAGAGGAGCCATGAAGGCCTTAGAAAAGATATTTAGATGCCATAATATTTCTATACTGAAATATAAGCATATTTGTGCAAGCTATATTAATTGCTGAATTCAGTTCCCTTTGAATTTAATAATACACTGATTTCAGTGCTACTGAATCAGTGATTTTCTGCCTCCATAGTACCACAATAGCCTATGCTAATTCATAAGACTTTCCCTTAATAAAATTAAAGGTCACACTGATGTTAGGGTTGGACAAGAAATAACGTGCCACTTATGTTTTAATAATCAAATGTTAATCTCTTTCTGTCTTTGAACTATTTTGAAGGCTTTAGAGTACTTTAGTATCCTTTTAGCATTGGTAATGTTTTTTTTTATTTATTCCTATTAAACATCTCAAAATTTTCTATGAATTTGAACCTTGTAATGTCTTCACAAAAAATAATAAAATACTGGTCAGTGACCATGATAAATGTACTACTGTTAATCTATATCTAATCTATTAATATATTAATCTAAATATCACAAGGTCCGTGAAACTTTGTGATACTGTAATGCTCACTCTAGGTTTTGTAGACACAAAAACACACAAACCCCAGAGCACATTTTCACAGCACGTTCAATCTTCCTGCAAGTAATGTTTAACTCCCATAGATATGTGCACACAGTGTCACACACACACACACACACACACACACACACATGTTGCTTGAAACTCTCAGGCGAGTTTAATCGATAGATTAAGAAGTCCTGCTTTCCATGGTCAGAGCACACACAAAAAACTTGTCACAGCTTAATCAAACAGTGTGCGCACAAATAGGTGCATGCATATTTTATAATATTTTATTTATTTGTCAAATTTAGATACTGTCCATCTCACTCAGAGTCAGATACATAATGTTGCATATTGGCCCAAGCATCTGGTTATCTTTGTGCATAGTCATAGCATAGGTGTCCCACTGTTTCACTTATTGCCCCCCCCCCAAGCAAATTATGTTAACTTTCCTGAATCTCAAAATTCTCAGGAGGAGGAGGAGGAGGAGGAGGAAGAGGAGGAAGAGGAGGAGGAGGAGATGGTTCTGAATATCATTTAACAGATAGAGCTAGCTGAAAGCTCCTTAGGGGTTCAGCCTTTCCTGATGCATAAAACAACGTAGACTTAAGGCCAGCCTCTGCCTTGCTGAGATACATCACCTTCATCAATTTTTCCATGTTTCCTCTTAAACACTACAGAAAGAGCTGCTGCCTCATTTCCTACTCTGCTGCCTCATTTCCTACTTCATTGTATAGATCAGTGGTTCTCAACCTTTTTAATGCCGCAACCCCCAACCGGTCATAAGTCGAGGACTTCTCAACCGGTCATAAGTCGAAGACTACCATTTGCAGAATGGGACTTTTGGCGGGCTCAGCAGGGCAGAGACAGCCTGGACAATTCCTATTGGCTTTTGAAAGCCAATAGAATTAGACTCTATTCAAGAGAGTCTATTCTATTGGCTTTCAAAGCCAATAGAATAAAAGGGAGTAGCACAGCTAAGGAAAAGGGGGAAAAAATGGCGGACTGCGTTGTTTGGCGACCCCCATGAAATGGTCATTCGACCCCAAATGGGGTCCCGACCCACAGGTTGAGAACCACTGGTATAGATACATACATAAACAACCTTTGCTAGTCTCAGTCTATGGGAACTGGAAGAGTTATGAGTCTAACACATCTGAAAGGTTGGGGATAGGTGACATAGAGACTGATCACTCCAGACCACAGAACTTACCCCATTACCAAATTTCCTGCATTGCAACAACGTATAATCAAGAAGCCCAATAAAATGCTTCCAGCCCTATGGATTTCAACTTTGCAACATAGACGTAGAGCTTTCCCATGCAAATAGACAATATTTACAAGGCATTATGACCCGAAATTCTCAGTTTAGCTTAGTTTCCTTATGTCTGAATCGCTAAAGCAAACCTGAGATAGTGAGGGAAGCAGAAGTAGCAATGAAAGCCACACTCTTTTTGCTAAGAGAGGTTTCAGTAAAATTAACAGCCTGAGAAACAGGAGGAGGTACTGTTTCCTTGGTTGGAGAACCAGACTTTGCTTCAAAGGTGCTTGAGGGTGAGAATAGAGTGGTGCGTGAAGGTGTCAAGGAAAAGTCAGGAGTTGTTTTTCCTATGGAGGGTAGATAAGGAATGGAAAAAAAAAAACAGCATTATTGTGCACAGATTAAAAAAAAATCCCACAAATTGATCTGGTTCACTCAGAAATGTATAAAACACAGTAATGACCTGAGACCACTTCTCAGGGGCTTTATAATTAAACATTGTAAAACACAGCTCTACTCACCCATCCCTCAAATTGTTACTCTAATATCACTTCTGTCCTTAAATTTAGCAATATATTAAAGGCATTTTAACATTTAAATACAATTACATTTTAGAAGAATACAACGCTGATTTCCTGATAAAGTTTATTGTAGCCACAATGTGCATTTTTAGCACTTTTAACCCTTCTAATTCTATTATTATTATTATTATTATTATTATTATTATTATTATTATTATTATTATTAGTATTGAAAAACTTCCTGGAAGTTGCATAAGCATAACTTCACGGATCAGAAAGTCAGGGAAATCACTCCAAAAGGTAGTAAAAACAGTTAGAACATAATTAACCCAAGTAATATTTTTAGTATTTGCCCCTTGGAAAGAAACTGGTTAAACATACATCAGAGAGAAAGGACACTCACCATTCATTTACACTGTTAGCGTATGATCCAGCAATCACATTTCTGAGTGCAGTTTACAAAACCAGTAAAAGTATAAGACACAAACATAGAGCATATCCACACATTTAAGTTGCCCCTGTACTGTGCTCATGCAAGTTTGATTAAATCATTTTAAGAAAATCCTATCCAGATCAAAAGACTCTTACAATAGCTTGCAAGGTATTAATTTCAAATGATAAGCTACCACATCCTCCACTGGACAATCTCTCTGCTGCTATGCCTTGCTATTATTCTCTCCCTCCCAAAAACCCAATTGTGAATTATTTTCCCTTCTGTGGGTGGGTCTTCTGGGGCTCACATGCACACATACACAAACACACATACACACACACAAACAAATATCTACACTCTTGTGTATAGGTGTATGTGAGTGTGTATTTGTGTACACACTTATACACCAAGGCATCTGCAATGAACTATTTTAAATGGATAAGAACACTTGAGGCAATGGTGGGATTCAGCCAGTTCGCTCCACTTTGGCAGAACTGGTAGCTAATTTTTTGTTGCCCAGGCCCAGAATGGACTTCCAGAAGTGGCATCCACCCAGAGAACCCGTTGTTCACATATATGAATCCCACCACTGACTTGAGGTGACGTAAGATGGAAAAGTGTATTTCAGAGTCAGAGCAGAAAATCACACCTTGAAGTTTCTTTTATGAGTCAGAAATCCATAGAAGATGGCATTGTTCATTTTTTTCTTCCTGTTTTGGCAGTGGGACAACTGGGCAGGGTAGATGAGCTTAAATTAACAACCCCAGGGAAAACAAGGAAAGCCAAAATAAACCAATATTTCCAAAAAATGTAGACAGCTGAGTATAATGTTACTAACCATTAAAGGTTAGTAGCATTTTTTGTTCTTTTTACAACTCTGTCGTCCCGTGCATCAGGGTGGAGTCAGGGTGACTGAATGGAGCTGAGCGTTTACTGGCCAGATGTCCTTCCTGAAACCTACACAGAGTTCACAGCATATGTTTTCTCTTTGCGCCTTGATAGAGAAACATCTGCCTCTGCCTAGGATTGAACTCTCAGCCTCCTGAGGCGAGAGTCTTAACCTCTAGGCCACCGAGCTACTCAAAGGTTAGTTCCATTGACTAATGTAGTGAAATTGATTATATAAGGATAGACTGCAAACTCTCTTCTGTTTTTGGTCATTTTATATGGCAGATTGATTTCAAAGTTGTAATAATACATCTCCATCCTATTGCCCTCAATTCTTAACAGGGTTCTGCCCCTACAGATGTTGCTGATGAATACTGTATATTCCGGCGTATAAGATGACTTTTGAGAGCGTTGAAACAGCCTCGGGGGTCGTCTTATACGCCAAGTCGTCTTATACGCCAGAAATAAGGTAGTTTCTGGTGTATAAGACGACTTTCTAGGCATGCGACTCGGCGTCGATTGTCTTATACGCTGGAAATACCAGTAGTTTCCGGCATATAAGATGACTTTCTAGGCATGCGACTCGGCGTCAATCGTCTTGCAACTCGGCATCGATCATCTGGCGACCCGGCGTTGAACATGGGGGTCGTCTTATATGCCGGGTCGCCCTATACGCCGGAATATACGGTATCTGTTGTGGCATAAGATCATATCCCATGAAAAGCAAAGATTTCACAAAAACAAATTAAATACACATATTGCTTACCATTTGTGCCTGCTTTAATAGACGTTCCTGGTGGTGTTGATTGGCCTAAGAAGGAGGAAAACGGAGACATGAATACATTGTAGCATGAAAAAAAAAGTGGTCCAGATATCTTATGTCATGGTTCCGACTAATGAGTGGAGTGGAGGCCACAAATTAGTTAAGTGAGTTTTGCCCCCTTTTACAACCTTTCTTGCTGCATTTGTTAAGCGAACTACTGCCACTGTTAAATTTTGAATGCTCACCAATGGGCCTGCATTTATAGCCATTTGCAGTGCTCTGCAGTCACGTGACTGCGATTTAGTTTTGCCAGAAAATGGCATTTACTTCAAGTTACCAGCAAAAAGTGCCCCAAACCAAACAATGGTTCATTTAACAACCACCAAATTTGCTTAATAATCATTGCAAAAAAGATCATTAAAAACGGGTCTGGTTACGTGGGTTTATGACCATCATGATTTACAACTGAAATCGTAATTGAAGTCTTAAATAGGGGACCACTTGCATCTCATGATTTGCTTGATTGGATCACAATAAAACATAACTCCCAAGCTACAGTCCATGGTGACTGGGCTTGCGTTATATGTTAAACCCAAAACAAACAAACCAAATTATGATTTAGTATGAGGGATGTATGTCCAGCCCAATCAACTGCCCCCACACATACCACCAGATACAAAATAAAGTAGCCACATAGGAAGACAGAGGCAGAGAGAGAATATAGGTGATACATTTGTGTCTAATGTACGTATGTCCACACGTGTATATAAGTAAGATTTATATACTATTTGTGATGGGATAGAAAGTTTATTTGTGATGGGATAGAAAGTTTATTAATACATATATACCATTCAGCTATGAAAGGTACAGTGACTGGAGGACAATGATTATTCTTTTTGCTATTTTTGCTCATCCTTGAGTTTTTAAAAAGCATTTAACAAGAAATCAGTAGATGGCACCATAACATAACAAACTCCAACAAACTCTAACAAAACTCTATGTGGTAGAAATCTGTTTCACTGTAAGAAAGTAGCCATGAGCCACTCTGTCAATTGATGAGACTTGTTTTTAAAAGACCAAGATGTAAAAACCCTATGGCTGTGATCATATCTAGCTGGTAATTTTTATTTTACATAGTCCACAGGAGTTTAGAGAAGTGTATATGATTTGAACTTCAACATGAATATGATATTTGTAAGGAAAACATTGCTAACTTTTGGCATGTTTTTGATTAAAAAAAACTGTTTTACTGATATTAGATCATTTTAGGGCTTCCCTTTTTTTAAAAAAATCAAGTTTAATTTTTTTTTAAAGACTTGGGCTACAAAGCTCCAGGTCCAACAACAAAGGTTTGCTACCCCCAGAGGCCAGAAAGTAACCTTTCTGCAGTTCAGAGAAGCAATTCTTCCAAAATCGGAAGGTGTTTCAAACTTTTGAAATGTATATAAAATAAATTTCAAGGAAGAAGGGGGGGAGAAGGATTGTTACTGATGTATCTCATACTATATGATGGTATGTGCCTGTATGTCAGACAGCAAGCATGCATGCAGAATGCTAATACACTGATAATAGTCTATTCAGGCAGCCCAGCATTGTGGAAGATGATTAAACTGAGTTTCCAACAATCAAATCTATTATAAAATGAGCATCTTTTGCAAGCTTACTGAGAAGCAAATCCTTCTCTGATTACATCCAAATGAGTCTATACAGTACAACAGCTATTCCCAGTCGGATGCCTTAGACATCCATACTGAAGTTATACATATCTGTGTCAACCTTAATGGGCAGATCAGACAGGAAACATGAGCTAATTCTACTTTATTGTAAAGCTACAGTAACAGAATCTTACAGTACAACTGTCCCTCCATCTCTTTTACAGTCTGGGAAGCTAAAGAGGGTCTCTTCTGAGCCTCTTGTTCTGTCCAGAATCCAGCTGGAGGCTATGCTGTGTCTTACCTGGTCACTCCTCAGGCAGTTTTTCTTGGCCCATTCACCCGAGATCTTTTTCACCTATCATTACAATATCTGAAAGGAAATGGATGGAAGCTGGAAAGAGCTGATAAAAAGAACTCAGCTAAACATTAACTATGTTGTTGTTACATTTTGCTTTAAAAGAAGACTGTGATCAATGGTTGATCTTGCACAAGCCATTGTCAATCAAATGAATGTAGCAACTGGAGAGAAAACATTGGGTGACATGTCATGGAATGGTCCAGGGAACACAAGCAGTGTTCTTACGTCACAAGGAGACAAAAATATGTTTGGCTTTGTCAGGAGAATCTATGAATATTGCAACTGCTTTGCAAATATTGGCTTATAACATACATTGCTAGCAAGCTCTTTCAACCTGCACAGTTCCCCAATTAACCTCCTAAGTGCAGTTGACGTTAAGAAGCCCGAAAATTCTTAAAGGCTCTTCTGATGAGCACCCACCACCAGCAGAAGCTATAAAAGAAAGGCCATGTGGAAACTGTAACAGAGATATGTTGAAAATAAAAACAGCTTTGCTAAACATTGAGTGCGAGATCAGGTTTTGTTGAGCGGAAGCCAGATATAATCTGAATTCTAACTCAAACAACAGACCACACCTGGCCTACAATGACATGAGTTCAAGCATAATTATCTAAGAAGCAATGTCTTTTTCTATACTTTCTCCATCTGCAAAATAATCCAGTTTTCCTCCTTCTTGCTCCATTATTTTAACATGGATATATTACATCAGAGGTGCCCAACCTTTCCAGGTTGGCGGCCCAGGTTGGCAGCCCAGAGGGAAAGGAATGGGCAGGCATGGGGCTGCCAATTTGGAAAGGGGCAGGCATGGGGCTGTGCGATGCAAACAGGGGTGCACACACGAAGCTGGGGGTGGGGCTAGTACCCAGGCAACACTGGGAGCGGGCCTAGCGCCTGTGGAATGCTTGGGGTGGGCCTAGCGCCCACATGACACTCGGGCAGGCCTAGCACCCACATGATGCTCTGGGTGGGCCTAGCACCCATGCAATGCTCAGGGCTGTACTAGTGCAAGGGGGAAGTGCATGCACACACATGTGCACACTAGCCAGCCATTCACGTGGCCCAGTGGCCAAGAGGCCATGGCCCGGTAGTGGGCCATGGCCCAGAGGTTGGGGAACCTCTGTGTTATATTATTTTAACATATAGGGCATGGTTAAAAAGTCAAGAAGGCAGGCAGTATTTCATGATTCAGGCTCTGCCTTTTTTTTTTAATGTGACACACTACCACAGAAGCAATAGACAGTACCCTCACAGCCTCCATCTTGCCTTTTTTGACTATATCCTGGAAACTTCTGAAAATGGAAAAGAATATCTTAGCAGTGATCAGATTGCTAGAGTATCTAACTTGGAACTACATACTTCACCAGCATCATCCTTTAGCTTACTGTATATAATTGTATGGATAAGTTTGGATTTTAATTGAGACAAATAAAACCATTTCAAGTTATTAATAGAATGACCGTAAATATAAAAACATGTAATAATGTCTTCACTAAAATATTAATATATTTTTAAAAACCTGTTTAGATATTTCTGCAAAGTTTGTCAGGAATGAAACTCATTAGACGACATCAATGGTTGAAATCAGCCTTCTTTAATTAACTGAGAGAAACTGCCCAACCTAAAACTATATGGCAAGATAAAAATAATTCTGATCTAAAGAATTGAAAGTTGAAGTCACTCATGACTAGGGATGGACAACCCAGCCTATTTCAGTTTCACCAAGGCTAAGTTTTTTTCAATCTTAAGTTTGGTTCAGCTTGTTTCAAGCTGCTTTTCTTTCTTCCAACGTAAATGCAAACATGATTTTGTATGCTTCTGATGCAATTTTACAAATGTGCATATTTTCTAAGCCATGAAATTAAGCTATAATTAAACCCTTTGCTATAATGTCTTGTAGACATTCTTCCGTAAAATAGATACTTTAGGTCCATTATTGCATCTTAAGAAGTAACAACACAAAATCCAGAAAATTCAGATTTGAGCATATCACTCTACTCCTGTTCAGGTTATCATTTCGGAAATAAAAAGGAGGCCAATTTGCCTCCTGAAATGAAAATACAATTAATTTCTAATCCTTAGTTGGAATTCACTGTGTGCTTTCAAGTTCCTCTTTATCTGATCTTCAACTAACTAATTTAGAACAAATACAGCAAACAGGATAGCTGCAGCAAATGAGTCCTTAGTTACACATGTGTGGTTTCGCTATGCGTATTTCTGTTTTTCTTTTTCAGAAGTCTGTATAAAAGGAAGAGGATGTGCAGCACATTGTGGTTTTAGAACATAAGCTCGTCTAAGTGGCGAAACAGTTTCCATAGCAGCAACAGGCTCAGAGTCTCAGCCCACTCTAAGTGCTAAACCACAACTTCTCCAGTGCAGTTGTCAAGTTTCCTGATTCTGACTCTTTGCTACAACTGGGCCTTTCTAATGATGCTCATAAATTGTGTATACTGTAGTTGTACTAAAGATAGAGTCCCTTTTCAGACTGAAATGGATGGGGAAGACAGAGGGAGGGAGGGAGGGAGGGAGGGAGGGAGGGAGGAAGGAAAGAAAGAAAGAAAGAAAGAAAGAAAGAAAGAAAGAAAGAAAGAAAGAAAGAAAGAAAGAAAGAAAGAAAGAAAAGAAAGACCCTGCAGATGGGTCCCGGAAAATAAGAGTCAGTCAATACAATTTGCCCATGAGAATGTTGAAAGGAATTGTTTATGGAGGCTGAAGGCTGAATGGTAAGGGAGGAAGTCCTTCTTCTAACGTACATCTTGAAATACACAATAAGCATAACCGACTCCAGATAGTTAAATTGGACATCTAGTTACGCAGCCACTGCTATACCTCTGTAGAAGTTTGCATATTACCATATGGATTGTGTGTTTATTTCTCTTTATGTTCTCACCATACACGAAATAAATAAATAATAGCTCCCAAGGATCTCCTCTATTGTTCTTTCACCACAGTGTGTTCCCTGATTCAAAGAGGAACAATTCATAATGAGACCCAATAAACAACTTCTGCTGTGTGCCTTCCTTGTTGGAAATTGAACG